TCGGTAGTACAGATCGCGATGTTCCGTAGATATCAAGTTCATTTTTATCGCTTAAATTGAATATAATTACTATATTTGTAGCAAATCACAAAAAGCATAAAGGAACGTTCAGATGATGAACATTAATGTCAATATTACTGTCAATATACAAAATTCTTAACATTACCATACATAAGAGACTCTCTAGACCACCGACGACAAATATGGATGCATTGTCAATACAATGTTGAAAACCCTAAATATTGACAATAATATTGATCATTTAAACGCTCCATAAGAAACGCTCTGATTCTTTTCGAGGTTGTGTTTCAGAATGTGAGACACAAAATTTTAAACACAGGTCTATTTTGTATTTAGTCATTGATGCGGCTATCTAAGTCTAAGTAATCAAAATATCATTGAATCTGCCGGAAACTAACAATTAAATCTCATATTTTATTATACCATATTATATTACTAATATCTTACAATAACTTTTAATACTGACAAATATAATATACCAACTTCAACAAGATTGTATTCTTTAAATATTTTTATCTTCGCTACCTTCTTCGAGCATTGAATAATCCCTACGACATAATGTTTTCCGTATTCCAGGAATTTTTTGCATCGTCATTTACGTATCATCTAAAAGTTAGTCATGACCATGACTATTATAAAATTCCCATTATGCTGAATCGTATGGCTAATTACGCTCGTAGAAAAACCGCATTTCCTAAAGAATTATTATTTACTGTGGATTTTTTCAATAAGTTACTATATGTATTGTATGATAATGTTTGCATAGAAACCAAAAATAAATCTTGATATACATCACAGTTAAAACTAGTAAGATCAATTGCAGAATGTTTGTATTGAACATAAATTAGAACCGCGCTCCACTTATCATTTGCTTCGCGTTAAGAAACTAATAAAAGAAACGAACAGTGAGAAATCATTTTATGACAATAATAATAATAATCTTGTAATAGTGATAAATAAAAAAATTAATTGTTGATAATATACTCAGCGACTATCCTCTAAAACAATTATTAAATCACACGAGGAGCCGCGATAATTTCAACTAAATATAGATATCGTTTATTTTATTGCACTTCGCTGCATATACTACACTTGATCGGATTCTTATTGTATTATTTTCGGTATGCATATACATACATGTAATATTACATGTATATGTAAAACATATACAATGGGCTATTACAAAATTTGAAAAATTCTTTAAAAATTCTCATTTCATTTGGATATCTTTAATAATTTTAAAACATGATTTTAATCATTCTTATATAATGTTACAATAACCAGAAGAATAATCCAGAAGAAATGAAACAATTTTCTAATTCTAATAACAATCATGCTTATATATCTAATAACTATGTTCAACTTAATTTTAAGTGATGATTCTACTAATTGTATATATTAAGAAGAAGATTATTTGTACAAAATGGACTTGTGTTATTACACTATTCCTATAATATGGATATTGCGTTCCATTTTATTCAACTGAGAATATTTAAATTTAAATCTTCTAAACCATATAAAATAAATTAGCGATATAGAAAAGAATGATGTACACGTGTAATCGTGCGTGTACATAATAACCATTTACCATGTGATGCAATTATTGCATTAGTGGGCTCAATAATTCATTTCTCTCCTTATTACTTGTTATCTATGTCATTAAATTGGGATTGATGAACTAAGAACACACTTAATTACAGTGTGGTTGTGTCTAATTTTCTACACACTAGGTTTATAAATTGAGAAACATTGTATTCAAACTTATTTAACATACATTAATATTATAACAGTTATACAAATAAACTTTTTCTTTGGGGTGTTTTAGCTAGTCTTGTTTCGGTTTAAATGGATTTTGTTGAAATCCTTTTTTTAAACGATAGATACCATATCTCTTTGGTAAATAATAAATAAACCAACTCTTAATAAATAATCCAATCAACCTTTAAACCTTTGACTTTCTAAAAATAGATAATTTGTTTTCCAGCGACACATTTCAAAAATCAATATTTCTTTCAAAACAATAAGATAAAATTCGTCTAGAATTTCCCGTCTTTAATATAGAAAGGTGTTTTATTTCTTAATCCTCGAAAAATCCATCCCACTCTTAAAATGACTATCCAATTCAAATAACTCAAATAGCTTTTCCTGAACTTGATCATTGACTAAATAGTTTCCAATAGATATCCTGTAGTACAAAGGTTATCAGAAATATGATTTTTCTACACCTTAATATCACGAATTAATCTTTGTTTCTGTTACAAAGACATAACAGTCTGTCAAATGGACTTAGGAAGAATTAAATTCTACTAAATAGCATAATTGTATAATGATACGTTGTACAATGAAAGATAAATTCTAAATCGTCTCATTACTTTACATTGATATTACTTAACTTTTTACTGAAATTCAGAAATACAAATTTGAATTCTCGTTATCTAAACTGAATTTTAATATAATATTAAATATAGGAAAAATATGGTACGTGATGTCTTCCTTCAAAATACGTTTCAAATAAAAAATAAGATGTATTTTTATTCACACATATTCAACTGATTACTATACCATCCCATACACGCAAATAGTCGTTTGATGCGATGGACTTTGTATAGCAATTAAGAACGTCTGCTGGCGATAATTTAAAGTTTTCCACGTAGTCTCCTTTTCCACTATAAATTTTCTATAGCTATTACTATAAGTAAATACACTGCCCTTCGACTACTACCATGTCGCAACTACTTTCTTCTTTATCGTATCGCTTATGTCTGGCGTTACGTATTTTTAAATGTATAATTTACTGCATGCGTAACACGTTATATATGTTTTACATTGAAATAATTGAAATAATTTAAATATTACAAGTATTTGAGAATTACATTAATTCCCAAATAATTTCTAAATACGTACTACCACCGTTATACGTTTATAACTTCAGATTAAAATATTTATTTACCATTACTTGTAACAAATGACAAATGGTTACGATGATGATGATTTTTAAAAATGCTCATCCAATTATTTAGGATGATATTCATCTTATTGTGTTCTATAATAGTAACTTTCATTTTAGAATTATGTATCTTTTCTTTTCTTTCTAATTACTGGGACAATTCGTATCTCCATGAAATTGACTGTTCAACATTAATGAATTGAACCATTGCAACATCTAACATTTTCTGAATTAAAAAATTGTTAGATATCTTTTTATAAACAGTTGCTGAATATTTTTGTACAGTAAGAAACTTTAACTTTTTCAATGAATTCTGAAAATATTCAGTTTGAAATTTCCATCTATATTATTATTTTCCATTAGAAATTTCTATCATCGATTTATTAAATTTCTAAATTACGAAACATTGTATTTCATTGAAATATTTACCTGTGAAAATTAATAATCGTGACATATATAGAAATCAGATTCCCTTAAAATCGCCCGATACTAAAATTCGCTGCAAACTATAAATATTAATTAACTCAATTTTTACTCCAATTACACATATAATTATGTATATAAAAAAATACGCTTTATAGTAAACCTAACCTTGAATAGTCTAACATGCATTACCCCTCGTGTTTAAGCAAAAAATTAAATGTGAATGAGCGGACGAATCAGGATTAACCTTCATTTCTCTATGATCTTTATACAGAACTTTTACTGTGTATTATTAGATTATAAGTGTAAAGCAAGAACTGAGAAAAAAATAGATTCATGAGGCATGATGGTCGCCGTGGCTGTATAATCGGCGTGTCATAGGTCAAACCGATGAGATACCATTTCGCAGACTCCGACGTGCAGTCAGTGGCGTGTTCTTTCGCGAAACACTGACTCTGTCATTCCATCTGTTTTTACACCCTGCTAAGTTCCGTTATATAATTTCATCGTGATCAAGTCTTCGCCTTACTATCGGTCCATTTGCCTTTTCGCAGCCTAAGGTAAGGATCAATTATCTGTGCAACTACTATCGATCGATTAGTCATTGGTTGAGTCCAATTTTCATGGATTTTCAAACTTTAATATAGATTTAAATGCAATTCGATCATCCTCGTGTGATTCGGTCACTACATCTGGCGTTTACCGTAAAATTCATTAATCTCTGTCTCTCTGGTATTCCTATAGTTCTATTTTAAAGATTAATAGAATCTATGTTTAATGAAGCAAAATTTTATATGCGTATTAACTTTGTTACGTTATATAAGAAATTGGATAACTAATTCCTATCCTTATTGTGAAATAGATTCAGATTGTGAAATTCGATATCTGTATCCTCTATATATTCTCTATACAACTATATTAGATACGGCAATATTTTAGGTATATATTGAGGTTTATTGAACTTGTTATTATAAGAATATTTTCTAACAACGTTATAATATATTTTGTAATAGCTTCGAAAATATTTATTCCAATTACTTTCGAACGATTATTCCTCAAATTCGTTTCTTCCGTGCTTATATACATATTGAATCTGATGGCGCTTTCTTCTATTACTACTACTTCTCTCTCTCTCTCTCTCTCTCTCTCTTTCTCTCTCTCTCTCTCTCCCCTTCTCTCCCCCCTCTCTCACTCTCTCTCTCATGTATATACATCATATATATCATATATATAAATACGAGATATTGTTCGAATTAGGATTAGTTCGAATTAATCGACAAAGTTTGCGTTATGGTTTCGATAAGCGCGATAAGAATAAGGGTATCGACCGATGTTTAACGTGAACCCATAGTATAATTTTATGGTTTTATAGTAAGTTTGAAACAAACTTGTGTACACCGTTCTGTCGACATAAAATTGGCGTTCTTAGTTTCGGAAGTGAGACAACTTATATTATTTATATTTGTATTTATTATTTAAGTATATGACTTAAAGATGTAGGTAACAGATCTCTATAAATAAATCTAAGTTATTGAACATACTTGAAGAGAAAGTACAGCCTCGACATTAACCACGAGGTACATTATAATGTGACCTTTCTTATCAATTGCTACAACTGGTTTCTCTCGATTAGTATACAGCACTGTATATATCGTGTATTTAAAAATTTTGCAAAGCTGTAGGAATATTATTCGACGACGTAATGTAACTGATCAGACCTTTCTAATCATTAACTTCCTTTACTATACGTATATGCATACAATCGTTTTATACTCTTGTTTGCACTTGTATGTGTATCTATCAAAAGTTATCACACATTTATTATAAACAGTACCAACAACATTCGTTTTCTTTTGTTGTAAGACGACTGACGTCAAGAATATTGTTAAAAGTAAGTACTAAAAATGAAATGTTACCATGTCGTTGTTAGTTCTACATTGTACGTATAGATTATTTACGTTGCTAGAGATTTATGAAAAATATAGAAAAGAAATAAATTTTTAAGATGAAAACTATAATATAATGTAAAATATAATTAAAACATAATATACAAAAACATACATAAGTAACAGAAAGCTTGAAATTGGTACTTGTGTATACATATGAGTATTAATATTTTTTGTACTAGAAATGAAAATAATAATTTTGACTTAATTACAGCAACTATCTCAAATGGCGCGAACAAACCCGAAAACTCGATATTCCGAAAACAAACGGCACTCCGATTTGCCGCGTTTCGAATCAGTTGTTAGAATCTCCAACCTGCCTATTGTAGAAAACAGTATACATATCGCTGGTAACGTTTACGATAAACTAAAGGTAAGCAAAACTGTTTTAATAATCTGACAGTTTCACGAATCGCTCCACTTTCTCTCATCCTTCACTTGCTAGTTTCGTTTGTCGTGAAAGTGCCGTATGTTTGCAATGATCAGCAAAACTTTTATATATGTACATTGTATCCAGAAATAAAATAGCGTGAGCAAACTGCTATCTTTAAAATAGAGAAGTATGAAAGTATATAAACTAAAAATGAAAATATTGCTTTAATGCAAGAATTTAAATATTTCTCAATGACTTTCTAGTTAGAAATTTTAAACGACTGATTAAGATAAATGCACGTGTATGCAGCAATAAAGCAATTTGTTAATAAGTTTATGTTCTTTATATTCGTATTAATTTAAATGTCAACCACATCTTTAAACATTAATCTTATTCTACTTAATCTTCCATTTATCTAGCTTAGTAATCGTCATATCCTCACGAAAAAAATCAAAATCAAGGGACAAACATGATATTGTTAATTTTAGCGTTCAAATTCATTGATGAGCTGGAGTTTATATACTGCCGAACAATCACTTGCAATTGCAACAGCGTCAGCGAAACCTGCGATTTCCGTATTAAATGGGCCTATTATGACGATCGATCAATTGCTCTGTAAAGGTATCGATATCGTTGAACAGAGAGTACCAGCCGTACATCTTCCTCCGCATCTTGTAAGTACAGTTAAAGTTAAATGTTAGTTATTTAACATTTCATTATTCTAAAGAATGAAATCAATGTGTATTTTATATTACAAAGATATACTGCAATGCACGAGAATATGTGAGCAACAAAATCGTGAGGCCTGTTCTAATGCGTGCCGGAAGCGTGAAACTGATAGGAAGCCAAGCCGCGAACGCAGCGGTAGATAGATTAGATGGGGCTCTAACTGTCGCAGATAAATATGTTGATCGTTACTTGCCTGCTGATTCTACCGATACAGTAGACCATGGTAAATTATTCGTTTTAAATTGCCGATAGTAATTTAGACCATATTTTAAATATTCTAATAGCAACTTAAGAAAGTAATCTTTTACACTTTCTATATACAGTGGATACAAAAAGTATTCATACTTCATTGTATTTATTATAGTATTTACGTATTAACTAATTAAATCTAAGTATATTAAATTTTATATCACTTAACAGTAATTTCATATGATTACAAAAATTTTGTACTATGAAAATGAAGTGTATAGAATCTGGTAAAGACACACTTCATTTGGAGAATAAAGGTATGTGCAAATACTTTTTGTTTATCACTGTATGTATAACAAATGAAATCATGTTCAATTAATATCAAATTAAACTTCTAAATATATATTAAATATTGATTATTCGAACTAATCGTGACACGTAATGTTCAAATAATTAAATTAGTGTATTTTCGTGTATTTTTCATCTTTATTTCTTTGGTCTCCATCTTTAATCATCGGTTCTAGCGTTTCAGTGTTAACTGATACGTCAAGTACCATATCGAGCAAACAAATAATCGATTAAGTTAAATCGTTGTCAACGCAAATTATTTTTTAGATTCCTCTCCATCTGAACCTGTGAGTAAGACCACGCGAACTATCAAACACGGTGCCAGGTTATCTAGGAAATTACAAAAACGGCTAACGCGTCGCACATTAGCGGAAGCTCGAGCGCTTAAGGAACAAGGAACGGAATGCATTCATATACTTTTATATATTGTAGAATTGGTAAGTAACACTTCTTTCAGCCGATATACGTAATAAACAATACAAATAATAAATAAAAATTAGCAAAAGTAAAAAGAAAGGAAAAGGAAGCCTTGAGTAAGTATTATTTATTTGTATTATCTATTAATATCATTTACTGAATAAAGAAACTATACTTTGCATCATTGATCACTTTCCAATTATATACTTGTTCTGTTATGCGAACGATGAAGTTGATATGTTACAGTTAGCAACGGACCCAAAACTAGCATTTAAAAAGGCGAAAGAACTTTGGGGAACATTAAGTTTGCCTGAACCAGAAAACCAAGCTCGACCAGCTACTCTAGAACAGTTATTGGTTCTTTTAACGCGTGAATCTGCGCGTCGTATTGTTCATCTAGTGAATGGGACAACAACGTTAGCAGCTAGAACCCCGCGCAATCTTGGTAGACTTCTCATTGGAGTGTCGCATCAATTGCTCGTAGTTGCGGATGCTACTTTCAGAGTAATTGTCAATAAATTTGTACATCATTCAATTCTTGAAATATTCATTACTACGGTTCCTTCGTTTATCTATGTTTATTCGGCCTCTTTTTGTTCTGAAGATGATGCCAATTATCGGTAAAAGGGGTGCAGCAAAAGAACAAATTTCAGCCATTAATTTGGCTATACAAAGGCTCAATTCATCTACAAATCATTTATTGGTATGTAGAATTCAAATAATGTTCACTCTAATAATGTTTAACCACGAATCACATTTATTATAGATTTTTATTAATTATGATGTACCTATGTCATCAACTAGTATCAATACAAAAAATAGTATCAAGCAACTGATGCTACTTTTACAGGAGCAGTTCGCAACTTTCCTAGCTGGTCGTCCATGTGTTTCCAAAATAACACATGCAAAGAGTCATCAACAAAACCACAACAACCACATGTCGATGTCTTCAAAACCTCCCGTAAATGGTATCGATACTATCGAGTAACAAAACTGTGGTTATAAGTTATTTTGCGTAAGTTCCGTCTATGATAGCATTTATTTCAAGATTGATAACTATGTATCAGGAAAACTTCTCATTGAAATTTCACAGTTAAATAATATCCACCGAAATATTATAATATAGTTTTCGAACACATTATACTCCCACACTCACATTAAGCAATTAATGAATATTTCTCTTATATCGAAGACATAAGTGTGTATTGTATCCGTGTCATTCCTAGTTTTCAATTCTTGAATCTACATTTAGTACATAAATTATAATGTGTCTAGAAACAAGAAAGTGCAAAAATAAATATTATGATAATTTCACAGTCATCACGATGTCATTAAAAAATGGTCTATTTGTTTTGTTGACTCGAAGTAGATTATACATTCTTGGCCGTATATATCTTTAAGAAGCTTGTTATTGATGTCTCGTTATAATTGTAACATATTGAATATAATATATATAAGTTGTGTTTGTGTTTAATCCAATGCAGATATCTTTGATTAGTTTATGCATATATAATTATCTTAATATGCCTCTTACATTTTATTTCATTGAATGATATAATTTAATAAATTTCAATTTTTAAATTATTCAAACAAATTTCGCAATAGTTAGAAAAGTAATAAAGAATAGTACATTGCAAATAAGTAAGCGAATTTAGATAAGTAATTTTTTTAAAGCATTAATATTAGTTTAGACCTAATTATTGCTTCTGTTATCAAAGTTAATGAAACTAAATTTTCTAACTAGTACATTAATGTGTTTTAACGAACTGATAAGGTACACACACGCACACATACACACAGAAACAATTGAATTAAAAATTTCACTTTTTAGCGACAGAATGATATTACGATTTAAATTGTGAAGTAACAGAATCTCTCCCCCCTCTTATTTTATTTTCAATTGTTTAAGATAAACTGTAATCTGTATCTCTTTAATCATTATTATTACTCTATAATATTATAATATTTAATCTTTCTACTTATATAAATTTGTTTTTGCAAGAATATTATTCATTCTACAAGTATAGCTTATATTCTTATCCATGTTCAATTTAAAATATTGAAAATAATATCAGTATTTCAGTTGTATAGGAATAAATTTTTATGTCTTCAAATCATTGATTTTAAAATAGATATAATACAATAAATGCTTTATCAATACAAAATACAGAAAAATGGTGAATATGAATTGGGTATAATATATTGTTATTGAGGGATAATATATAAAAATATACATGTATATGTAAGTAGAACTAGCACATGTTAAATTAGAATTAATGCTAATTACTCATTATATATTATTCTATGTAGCTCCGACATTAAAATAAACATCAAAATAAATAAAATTAATTAATCTTTCATTGAATTCTTAACGAATCCTTTTTAAGAATGCTATTTCCTTCTATTGTCGAAAAAATATTATATAAATTATTCATATACAATAATATTTTAAAACAATACACATCTATGTATTATTGAGAAGTTTTTAATTACTTATAATATGCCAATGCAAGTGACACTGGTTTTCCAATAGTTCGATGAACTTTTTTCTTAAACGAAATGAAAGTAAATGCGGTAAGATCTTTTCCGATTGCATATTTTCGAAACACTTTCTTTTGCATTTTCAACTATTTTCGAGCTATATATTTTGTTTCAATAAAATATTACATGTATAAAATAAGTAATCTCTATTTTTTTAATACCAAAAGCATTAATTATGTTGCGAATGATAAAAATAAAAATGTATCTTGTACCGGTAAAATTGTAGTAATAAATAGATGAAGTATTATCGTTGTAAACAGCGCAGATAATTTTGTTCAAAGAACAACTACATATACAATCACACTTCCCCACTTTTTCTATTTTCTTCAACTTTTACTGCTAACAAACTATATAATCGCTAAATTTGGAAAACTATCATTTTACATCACAGTATAGACCACAAAGAAAAACGGAGAACAGCCTTTCAACCATATGCTACTTTTTGTTTGAAAGATCCGAACGTCAGAAAGCAGATAAAATTTGCCAGTAAACTTCCTTTCCTAAAATAAGGCGTATTTAGTGTCTATAAATACGACAAAAATAGAACACGATATTTTGAGATGTTCGATAAATGTTTTAGAAATTAACGAAATTTATTTTTCTATTACTTATATTAAAAATATAAGAAAATGGTATCAATAAGAAATATTTCTTTAAAAATTCCTATCAAATTATTTTGATAATTTGAAAATAAATTTTGCAACAAAAATATAATATTAGCTTGTGTTTAGGTCTTCCTTTTTTTTGGCAGTAAGTTCAAAAATCATGTCACGCATCCGACTTAAATCCATCAATTCTGCTTTCATCTTCTTAATTATTTCCTCTTTTTCAGCAATGCTCTTTTCATACGTATGTACTAATTCTGATAATTGTTGAGTTTCTTGTTTGAGTGCAGATATATCTTTTTGATTAGACTGAATTTCCGCAATTTTTAATTCTATTACCTATTTAATATTATATATACATACATTAACAATTCTATTATAACAGTAGAGTCTATGTAAACGTACCTGATCCTTTTTATTTAACTGATCCTGCCTTTTAAGGAGCAGTTTACTAAGTTCGTGATTTTTATTAGTCATTTCCATGGTTTTTGCATCTGCAGCCACACATTCAATTTCTAACTCTTTTATTTTTTTAGTTAATGTTTCAATTCTATTTAAAGTACTTTCTAATTCATGCTTATGTTGCACGAGTACTATATTTAGATGATCAATGTTAGCAGTCTTTTCTGTTACTATTTTTTCTAAACCTTCAATTTCCTATAAATATGACTTCTATATTTTAGTTTTGATTTAAACTCTTATTTGATAGATTCACTATAAAAAGTACTAACCTGTGTTTTAATAGCTACTACTTTTTTATTCTGTTCTTCTGCTTCAGCAAGCTTTACAGTCAATGTAGACTTCACTTCTTCTAAGCATTGCTGTGTGTCAAACAACATTTGATGTAAACGGCTTGATTCTGCTACTACTTGTGCCAGCCTATGTTGCAAACTGGTTCCATGATTGTTTGCTGCTTCTAAACTAGATTGCATAGCCCGTTCTGCATGTCTCATAGCTGCTAACTTTTATAATACGAATATAAGATATAGTAAATATAATAAGCATTTTGTGCTTATGTTAAGATGTATTTAAAAAGAAGCATATACCTTGTATTCATACAATTCCATTACTGCTGATGTGGTAATATCATTGATTTGATTTGACTCATAAGTTCTTTCCAATTTTGCTAAAAATGCATCAAGCCGTTCTTCTTGCACGAAAGAAAACAGTGGGACCATTTCACTACTTGCATTTACGGACATTTTACTTCCAATATTTGTTACCATACCATGAGTACTTTGTACCAATATCAAAGGCTCCAGTTGCTTCATACAAAGCGCCACCGCGGAAACACTTGTCACACAAAAACATGGGATACAATTTGCATCTGATAGTGAATTTGTCTAGAGTTGTCATCAATAAAAATTAAAATAACTTGTTGCCAAAATATTCAATTTTAGTTGTGAAAATACAGTAATGTTTTATTTGAATAACAATATCTGTTAAAATCTTTGTACTTTGTTAAACAACTAAAGAACATTAAGATGAAACCTACCATTCTTGAGGAAATCCCATGGTGGATGTCAATTGTAGAACCTTTTGTTTAATGTCTGTATCACCAGTGAACAATGCATTTGCCATTGTCATTTGAATTTGTTTCTTTCTAAGTAACTCAGAATATAAAGTTAACCATTGCGAATTATCAGCAGCTAAATCAGCAGTCAAAGCTAATGCATGAATACATAAATTTGTAGTAGGATTCTAAAATAGAAAGTATCATTATCAAAAATGTCTATAAAAAAAACAAGAGTTATATTTTTTAAGGAACAAGAATACAATACTTGAATAAAATTCCCTGGCCAATTATCAGCTGCACATGTTTCAGAATCTAACATTGGACTTAATAATTTTCGTATCATTTGTTCATTCAAGGATTGCATCACTTTTGTTCTGAGTGTAGATGTTTTAACCATTTCTTGAAATAATTGCATTAATTCTGCTAATTTCGTTTCTGTTTCTAATGTTAATTCACATTTTCCTTGAATTTCATCATTTTCTGAATTTATTATGAGCATTAAAACTGAAGCATCTAATTCTGCTAACACTTCAGATGACGATTTAGTACGCCGTGCATCAATTACTGTAACTCTTATTAAAGTTAATGCTCTGGAGCACACCTAATTTGGAAAAGATTATTATAATCTGTTACCCATTATTCGTATTTAAATATAACAAAGACATACCTGTTCTACAGGAACCCAAGTCATTGCAGTTTTTACACATAAAGGATATAAAGATACCAAAGCAGATAATTTTAATTTTACTAGAAATGACAAAAATTCCATCATGAGAGCAACACATTCTGGATCTGCATTATCTTCTAATGTGGCCAATATATTTTCCACGCCTCTGCCATAACTAATTAAAACAAAAATGAGGTAATTTTTATACCAAATATCAAAATTACACTGAAAATTATAAAGTAACTAACTGTGGATATGTTAACAACACAGCATGGGAATATTCATTTTGTCCAACATAGTCAAAGAAATCTATGATGTGTCTCAGTAACAGAACATCCTTTTGTTTCATTGCTGTAATAAAACTGCTGAATGTGACATCAGCAAAATCCCAAATAGATTTTTCCGAAATATTTGTATTTGTATGTTCTAATATAATCAAAAGCTTACAGCATTGTACTTTGGTATTAACACTATAATGTTGTATTTTTAATAAGGTCCGTATGAATGCTTTTGTATCAATCGTTCTTATTAATATATATACAGCTGGAAGATTTTTGTAACAGAGATTTACTAGTACACCTAAGGAAAGTGCAATAATGTTTTCTTCCCTAGATTGTGTCACCCATTGTGTTAATACTGATACCAGATATGGTAAATGAGCTTCTTGCCAATAAATTTTTATTCCATATGTCAATTCTTGTAGTAGTTTTAATACTCGTATTCTCTTTTCGCTTGTTAAATTTGCCTATGAAGTTATTATACAAAAGCATTAAATTATTACTTTCTTTATATTTCCAGTTGTTAAATTCAAAAATTTTATTATAGGAAACAAAATATGAACCTTAAATGTAATAAAAATAAATATATCTCTATATTTTTTAAATCATATTCTAATGCTATATTTTTGTGATCTTTAAAATACACAAATATACATACTTCCAATAATCTTGCCAGTATAGGTGCAAATTTAAATGTATGAATGAGAGCTTGTCTTGCAGCAGCATTGCGACAAGCATTTTGTAAAACATCCACAGCACTCCAAATCAAAGTAGTTCTGGAAGCTAAAGAATTCATCAGCTCATGCAAACTAACATAGAACTCTGCTGCTATGTTAGTTCCAGGGTCAAAAATGCTTAAATCCAATGATGTACTTATTACCTTTTAAACATAAATTTTTATTATAAAGGATATTTTATATATTGAACAGAATACTAAAATATTTATTAAAGTTTGTTTTAGCTTTTGCAAAATCATATCAAGTATTCATATAAGTAATTCATAAGTATTATGTAAGATTATAATCGCTATTCATTTTCAATGTATTAAAAACAATAAAATAATATATAATTACCCCAAGATTTCGTTGTAAAATTGAAGCGGTTGTTTCACTTGGATGTTTAGTATATTCTAAAACCGCTGATATGAATGTTCTTATGTGTTGGTATTTGTCCATTATGTCTGAGATATCATAAGTAATTATAAAATTTCGAATATTAGTAAACCTTCTAGTTTTTAATTTTAATAACATTAAAGTTAATAAATCTAATAAATTTTTATATGTAAACTACAAATACTACGATTGAATAGTATAGTTTTTTTAATAAAATCTCTTACGAAATATAATTATGTATACATGTGGGCATGTACAATAAATGATTCTTATTTGTACATTCCAAAAATGTAAAGCACACGCGTTCTTTTAACATACATAGACACACTTATAAAGTTGGAAATAATAAATATCGTTTTGCAGAAAACGGGTATTTGGCGGCCATTTCTAAATATTACGTTTGAAATTAACCAATTGAATTAAAGTCAATCAGTGCAGCTAATAGTTTTATCACTGCCGACTCTAGTAAGTACTAGAACTGCTGAAAAACGTGGCAACACCGCACCAGGAAACCTATTTTTATTTAGAGAAACAGAGCTAACTCTAGAGTCGGCTGTGGTTAGATATATGGAAGCCGGGTTCTTGCATTGTTGCCATTTTTACTTTCAGAACGGCTACTATGGTTTTATGTAAAATTTTCATTTTTTTTTATATTTCATGTGTAAAAATTATTTGATACTGGATATTAAATATAATTAAAACAAGTTTGTTACATATTTAATAATTATTGTAATTCATTTTTCATTTTGTAATTTAAAAATGGTGAAATAAGTTTATATTTTTTTACTAATGCCCAAAATAATTAACAATATTTGCTATAGTGATTTCGATATAAATATTTATGCTAATAGTAATTTATATAAACTTATATTGAAGAAATAATTATAAGAAAAATAATGGCAATTATTAAAAATTACTAAAATCAAGTACAGAGATTTATGAAATAAATTTAATGATAAAATATTATGTTACAATGTATATTAGTACATTTTACATACAATATTTTACTCCATTCTCTGACGACTGAATTATATAACCTTTTTAATCCGAAAGAGAATAATAAACATACGTACATATATAATTTTGTTTTTTGTATTGGATCTTTAGTAACAGGTTTCTTCTTTCAATTTTATGGATTTAGTAATTGCATAATTGAATATTTTACACATTATAGTGGATCAAGTATAAAATAAAAATTCTAAAATAATTTAAAATAAGGATGGGAGAAGAAAATTGCTAAGTATCCGCCTTGATACACCTACTATACGAATTAGTTGCAAATCTCTTTAATATTCCAAGCGTGAATTTGAAATGTTATAAAATTCTGATATTTTACTTTATATTGTTATAATTTATATTTAATACCTGACGTTATATCTTATATGTATATAAAGAAATATAAAATTTATTAATAACAAAGATCCCTACTTATATTTGAAAACATTTGCAACGTTATAAATTGTAGTAAAATATATTAGAAATAAGAGTATATAAACATATATTTTAAAAAGTGTATAGCAATAGAACTAAAAGTTCTAAGGAGAACATAAATTACGATATTATTAAAATTGAAAATTAATATTTTTCTTACCTAATTCTGTATATATAAAGAACACTATAAAATGAAACTGTAATCTTATTGGTCAGCAGTGGCGCCGTTCTCCGGCCGTGTTCATTGAAATGCGCCATTACCGATTCGAGGAAAAAGAAAACGACATTGAAGAAAGGTACTTACTCTTGAAGGATCCTCTCAGATTAAAATCTGTTCGACGTTTCTTCATAATTTCACGTAGAATATCTGGGTAAATTGACTGACTCATTGATTGATCGGTGGTAAACTATTGCGTGTGATCGTGACTTTCGGATTTGACGTTGTAAATGAAAGTGTTGCAGCACTGTGTGTACCGTGTGCGTGATTTGGACCTTGATTCTTTACAGTGCGATCAACTTTGATTTTAATCTTCATTCCGTTAGGTTACAGAGACATCGGTACCATCCATCTTGTCGAGAAAAGTGCCATTTGGAACAGTTATTGTTTTTCCGAAAAGTGGCGAAAGATCTTAATTCTCCGAACGTATAAGGAGGAATGTGAAAAAAATCAACAAGCTTCATAGAGCCGTGTAATCTGCCCTCTGTGTGCGTGTGTGTATGTGTGTGTGTGTGTACCAACCGGAGCTGTCATAAATGTACACATTCTATATAGATTGCACGATCTATGCTCGGTTAGTGGGCCGATTTACTCAAGACAAGTGATCGTATCTGACGCGCGGCAGTGAATTGACATTAATCATCGTCGCGCGGTGTTGTGCGCTCATCGACCGTCTAAAGAGCTAGTGCCGCATTCTTATTCGACGGCGAGCTTCCTCACGCTAGCAGGTTAACCATAGAAAATTTCAGTTTTCATTCAGTTGCCAGGTGTCCCTTTCCTTGCTACCTCAAACATTTTTTTCTAATTTTTTTCTAATGTTCACTTTTTCTTTTTTATATAACCCATAACGAAACAGTTTAGTTTATGGGATATTGTGATATCTATCACAGACGCAAAGAATATGCTTAATACCGTGTCTACGTTATTCGTCTTTTTAATGTGTATTCTATTGCACGAACATCGACAAGATTTTACGTGTGTACCCTAGGACATGTGGTTTCTTTTAGATTGTGAATTCTTTTTTCTCTGTCGTTTTCTCTTAATTCATAGGATATGCTTTAGCTCCTCTCGATTATTTCAGATCTTGCTGACGTTTCACGGGCGGTGACAAGTAGTCAGAACTGTAACTATCGTGGCGCATCGCTTACACCCTTTATTTGCTTCTCTTGTCCTCCCTCCCTTGCTATCTCGAGGGAAAGAGAAAGAATTAACATGAATGAACGAGTTCAAGAGAGAAAGATAGAGTGAGAGTGAGTGAAAGAAAGACATTGTAAATGAATACAGTGAGGGACAAAAGTATTCGTACGATAGGAATGTGAAAATAAAAAAGTACTGTATTTCTGCACTGTTGATTGACATACATATGATACATTATACAACAATGTTAGTAGTAACAAATATAAAAAACAAAGGTCAACTAAAATACTCAATAGTAACTTATAAAAATTATAAATTTGCATAATGCTAATGTTTGGGACAAAATATCTATACGCTATTAGTGATTATTATTATATATTATAATTAATACTTTGTAGAGTTATTAATATTTCATCTTTTTAAAATATTGTTTTAATTTAATATGATATTTTCTTATCTGTTTTTCTAGTTCCCATCATACATTCAAGTCTGGTTGTTGCTATGGGTCTTAATCCTGCTGAACTTTGTTGGCATTTGTCTGCAGGCTTTCTTTTAAAATATTTAAGTGTAGATGTTTGAAAAGCATCGTATTTTGATTTCCCAGAAATTTCAATCAGACAAATGAGAGAAGGTATGATGATTAACAGATACTGAAATAGATTTAAGATACGTACAATCAACTATGAAGTATGAGGGAAAAAGTATAGTGATAAGGGCGGGGTATTGTTCCATTAGGAATTAGAGAACTAATATTTATTACCCAAATGGGTCAAATAATGTTGGAATTGAAAATACATCTTAATTTCAATAGGACCAGGACTGGAAGTCACCATAGCAATCGCCATGCTTAAATCTCATTGATTCTTATATGTCGGTATAATAGAATATTTCACAAAGATTCTAATAAAGTAAAATATCAGTAGGGTTTCTTAAAAATTTAATGTATTATATACCAAGTAAATTATAGTCTGTTATTAATAAAATATATCAATTATAATATTGATAATTATCAATTATAAAGTGCAAATACTTTTGTTCCAAATATTAACATTCTATAAGTTACAAAGTTTGTATTTTCTGTTTATTACTACAAACATCTGTATAATCTACAATCATATGCATATTAATATAATTAATACTGTAACAAATACAATACTTTTTATTTTCGCATTCTTACTAAACGAATACTTTTGTCTTCCACTGTAAATGAATGAGAAAGAGATAGCGGGAAGGGGGTGGGGATAGCGTATCAGTAAGCGAACGAACGAAACGCAGATTAAGCAAATAAGCAAATGAGAGGAAAGAAGATAGAACATTAATAAGTGGAAGAAAGAAAGAACGTATGTAAGAACACCTACGTATGCATGTATGTGTATATAAGGAAGAGAGAAAGAGAATTTGCGCGCGCGTACACAGAATTCTGTCTGTCCTTATCGGTTTCTTTCTTTCTTTCGCAGTCCCTATGCATCGCTTTAACGGTTTCTTGTGATTTTTCGATAATACTATTTCGCTGAAGGTTATGAGCTGTTGGTTACGTAGATAAGTTTGGGGTGAGTTCGTACGTATGCAAGGTTTGACGTAGCTTCATTTTGTTTCTAAGTACGCGTAAGCTCTGTATATATGTGCGTGTATGTTTTTTTCATTTAGTATGTTCTCTCTCTTAGGAATGTTTTTTTCTTGTCAGCCGTACCCGGACGGGCTCGCGCGATGCGGACCTGTTTCCTTTTCGTCGCCGCGAGTAACGCGAATTCCGTGATTGCCGTGAAGTTGCTGCGTTTAGTCATCGTGTTACCAATTCTCACTCGTATATTCCTTGTTAGAACAGGCTACGCGTTTATCATTTAGAGTCTGTCTGGTTTTATCAATTGTAACATTATCGCAAACCAATAACGGACTCGTTCAATTCAACAAGACTCTCCTCGCAAACTAATTGGATAATGTAATTAACAGAATCCCCTGCTTTAATGGGTTAAACCGCATACGTTATTATTTTTCGTTAGTTTATACCTACTGTGTTTTTTTCACTTGTAAGTGTCAGAAAATAATCGCAATAGAGTAGACAATCAAATTTTATCATACGCATTTATGCAAGTCAATATCTAATTCTTTTCTCCTGTCTTCTAATTTGCTCAAGTTCCATATTTTTGCAGACATTCACTATGTAATTCGTATCTTGGTTCTTGATTATTTGTTTATTTGTACTTTATACGCTTAAATACCCAAGGATACATCTTTTTTGTTATTCCAATTTTTGCGTCCGTTCTTTGATTAGTTTTTATGTAATGCGTTTTAACGGAGCCTCATCCTTATAATCCATATTAATTCTTCTCTCTCATTTAGTTGTAGGTATAATATTTTGTTGTATTTAATTTTATTGCAAACTGAATGTAATACAATTTTTGAGAGGTTATTTACATGTGGTCAAATTTTGTACTTTATAATATTAGTTATTTGTACAGTATTATAAAAAAATTTCTTTCGAATTATTTTATATTGTTTTATGTAGAAATAATAGAAACTATATCAAACTGCAAGGTTGGAAAGGTATAATGTTTATACTATCGTGAAGAAATCTATTATTTGATATTTGTGACGCTTGATTCAAAAATTTATTTTAATATATTACTTTTAATCAATATGCTAATATGCTATAATATTCTTTAAAATATGTTTTTCTGAAGATCTAAATTTGAATTACTAATTTTTCTTATTTAATAATACTCATGTTAAAAAGTCATCTTGTATAACTTTCAGTATTGTATTAAACATTATATTAAAATCTTTTAGTTTATAGAAAAACATCATAATTTATTATGTATATTTATTAGTTTATATTGTTCAAGCTAAAACATTTAGTTAAATGTTGATTACTTAGTATGTAACTGAAAGCCTTATCTATTACATATGAACTTTCGGTATAAATAGACTTTTATCTGCTGATTTACAGGTTTAGGTACAAGTAAAAAATCGACAATTATTTCAGAATTCCAATAATTGTTATTTATATAATTCTATGTTATATTTTATAATTAAAATAATATTATAGTTTAAATGCCAATTTAGGAGTTATTTTAACAATTTATTGTTCATTTATAAAGAAAATTTTATCATTTATAATAACTGAATAAATATAAAATAATTGGTCTTATGCTGAAATAAATAGTTAGATTTTTGTAAATATAGAATTATGCTTTTAATATTTTTAGAGATAATAGCAAGGCTTTGAATAAATTTAAGTATTTTACAGAAAGTTTATGTTACTGTTTGTTTACAAAAGCTATAAGAAGGAATATTAAAAATAATGAAACATAAGTTTAGTGTTATAGATGTTTCTAAATTAACGCATCCAATTTTTTGTTATTTCTAATGTATTAAATGTGTCTTATTATAAATGTTAATTCACTATAAACTTTACAGCAGCAAAAAATTTATAATTTTTACACTAAAAGAGTAATATGTTCTAAATATTTACAAATTTTTTAAACATAGGTGATCATGGCTAATCGGGGTACAGCCCAGAGGCCAAATGGTTCAACACAAGGGAAGATATGTCAGTTTAAGCTGGTGTTACTTGGAGAATCTGCTGTGGGAAAATCAAGTCTTGTCTTGAGGTTTGTGAAAGGACAGTTCCATGAGTACCAAGAAAGTACTATTGGAGGTATGGATTTCAATATCACTATAAGTGTTAATTACAGCATCGGTCACATGAAAATAACATGAATTATAATTAATACAATATGTATCTAACTAAATAGTATTTTATTGGTTTTAGCTGCATTTTTAACACAAACTGTATGCCTGGATGATACAACTGTAAAGTTCGAGATTTGGGATACAGCAGGGCAGGAACGTTATCATAGTCTTGCACCAATGTATTATCGTGGTGCACAGGCAGCCATTGTTGTATATGATATAACAAACCAAGTGAGTAAAGATCTATCAAAATCAATATACATTTTAAGTATACTGAAAATTATGTGCAATATTTAATGCAAATATTTATTCAGGTGAATGGCAAAAAAATAGTTATGTTCTGGGTTTTGTGTCAATAAAAATAGTAATAAGACTTTAATCGTTATTTTTTTGTTAATTGTTATGAATATTATTTTTTAATCTTTACATGTATCTTTAAAAAACTACAGGACACATTTGTACGTGCTCAAACGTGGGTGAAGGAACTGCAACGACAAGCCAGTCCAAGTATAGTTATAGCACTAGCTGGAAATAAAGCCGATCTTTCAAATAAAAGAGTTGTAGAATTTGATGAAGCTCAAACTTATGCAGATGAAAATGGCCTTCTTTTCATGGAAACTTCAGCCAAAACAGCAATGAATGTTAATGATATATTTTTGGCAATTGGTAAGATTGTATTGTTATGCACACGAACAATTTTATTATATTTATCTAACCTACATAGAGAACATCTGGATTTGAAATAATACCGCTTATTAAATTACATACAGTATAATAACACAGAGTGTACTTACTTTATAATCATATAAAATATTTATTGTTGTATGTTTCTAAAAGTTTTTTTTTATATTTCAGAATATTTTACTAATCTCCTTTGTATAATATATATCTCTAATAATATTCTATTTCTATTTGTATTTTTCTTTTTGTTAAATAAAGTTTTGTGTTATTATATTACAGCTAAGAAACTTCCAAAGAATGAACAATCAGGAAATGCAAGTACAAGCGGTCAAGGTCGCCGATTAGTTGAGACAGAAGGACAAAAGGCAGCAACTGGCAATTGTTGCAAGTGATTATCCAAATCTGTACGTGTCAAATATATATTGGTATACACTTTTATATTAGTTACAATTTGACACCTTCGTGATAAACAATGGTGAAAGATATAATATCCTTGAAAGAATCACAAAACAATTAATATGTGCATCAGATATGAGTCCAGCATTTGATATAATATTGTAGTATACTATGTCCACATATTTTTATAATACTAAGATATATAATGAATAGACACTAATGATTATCTTGCAATGATATAAATGTTTTGATATTAATTAGGTTAAAATTTAAACATTTTATGGGGCACTGTATGCAAAATTTTGTATTAGTATTGTGAGACATGAGTAGATATTGCTGTAGCATATTTCTTGTTATGTTTAATATTTTTATTGCATGTACTTTTGACTTCTTCCATTCTTAATATTTATTAAACAAGTAAAAAAGATTTTTTCATCAAAATTTGGATTATATTAATAATAATAATATTTTTTCATATTAAATCATTGAATATCTAAAATAATCATCATTATAGAGGACAAAATTGACATTTTACACTAAAAAGTTTGTTTTTGTATATAAGTCTGCTGAATTTTTAAGACATAACAGACAATATGAGTAGATTTCATAAATTCTATATTTTCATCAGAAAATAAGTTATTAATAGTTAAAAAATCATTTATGATATTAGAAACTATAAAAACTGATGACTTTTTTAAACCTCACAATTGCAGTAAGATTCTTGTCTGTTATAAATTTGTTTTAGCACAATTTTAAGATAAATATTTATAAATAAATATTTTGGCATTTAATATGCACTATACTTTTAGAACAAAAATTATATTTATATAAGTATATTTCTGCATAATATATCGTTGTATATTACGTAGCTTCGTAGATCAACTATTGCAGTGAATAATGCGCAGTCCAATTCGCATTTTTTTCCGTTTTTATTTGTATACTTTTAATGAGCCTGTTGTTGTATTTTATCATCTGTCGTGTTGCAAAACATGGATATATATATTTGCACTTGATTGGAAATAATGCATAATTAAAATTCTACATCAGAATTAGAAGATTTCTCTTTTTTTTATACGTTATATGTTAAATTCTACAAGATTCTATTACAAAGTAACGTTATATATTGTATGCTTAAAAATGTTACATACTATTCTTATTTCATTTAGTTTTTATACTTATTATTTGATTAAAACACGAATAACATACATTTATAATATTAATTATACCGTTAAATGTTAGATACAAGAGAGTAAAAATATCCTTGTAATATATTTACAATTTTATTAAGATTTGCTACTGTAAATCATAAAATGATATTAAAGAAAGTGTTAATTTCTTATTTAAAACTTGAGTTTATTAATTTAATCAATACAACTGTAAGTACTTCAAAAATAACCTTTATTTAAGTAGTATATAATATAATACAAAAATCCTGTAAAAACTGTTTCTTTTCATTTTTATCAAAACTTTATCATTATTACTTCTAATGTAACAATATAAATCATTGCTTAGCCAATTTCTTCAATTTTTTCATTCCTTCATCATAATTATATCTTTATAATATAGCTGTGATTAAGTAAGTTAAAAAGAAAGTAGTGATTAAAGGACAAAATCTATTTTATTTTTTGTTTATTTTATACATATGTTAGTTCAGAGGAAATTTAAGAAAGTAGTATTGTGTTATGTATAATTAAAGTATTATTTGTATAAATATTTTTTCATGTTTTACATGTTGTTTTATTTTTGTTCCAAGTATTCTGTAGTTTATAATGTTTATTAGTATATTTTGGCAGTGACAATTGTAGTAGTATATAACCAATTATTTATCAGTTTAACTAGGATACAATAACTAACACATTTTATATCTATAATATTCTTTTATAATCATATTTGAAACTGAATTAAAACTGACATTGTCATTAAACTTTAATAGAATTTATTCATAATGTTTCTCAAATAGAGTATAATGTATTTTTTTCTGTAAAAAGTAACATAATAATTAAAAAATATAGTACGCATTTTTGTTAATATATCTAATCAATTACTGTAGGAGACACACTCTACTTTTTGCTTACAGATTTGTACCATAATCAACAAATATAAATACACCATGAGTGTGTCTGCAATGAATATATATTTGAGTGGAATATAAAACAATCAGAAAAACCACTATATTGGAATGGGAGGTGAACTGTGCAGGACGAACATTTTTCCTGAGTGATCAATGAAAAAAATGCGTGTATCACATTGCATTCAACGATATATCATCTATTTTGAGTATCAGAACTGTCAAAAAAAGAAAGAAGAAAAGAGAAACAGAGACAGATTAAGCTCCCATTTGTAATTCTAGTAGTAATGGGCGGTGTTCGTTATAAATATAAAAAATAAATAAATAAATAAATATATATATATATATATATATATACACTTACATATATATACATATATATATATATATATATATATAAATACGATAACGATATAAATCATATATAATAAATATGATTTATGTAATAAGTAATGTTAATGGTAATAAGTAATAATGATAATATTAATGGTAACATTGATAAATAATAATAATAATAATAATAACACTAATATTAGTAACAATAATATACCTTTAAAACATACAATGTATGATGAAATTTTGGCACGCAAAACGTCTTGTAAGATAGTACGCCATTCCTGCTGCTATGATTACCTATGTATTTACTTTCTTAGTTTGTAAACATGTATAACAAAATCTTGCTCCGAAATGTATTGTATATTAATTTTATTCAATAATTCATGATAAATTATAAATGATTACGCAAGAAAAAATAAACTTGTGAATATTACTAAGGATTTCGTCAAATTCACCATTTCATTTCATCCAAAATTAATTAATATCACATAAATGAGTCTGCAATTACGATAGAATAGAGCGAATTTTGTATAATATCATAGTAAATTGAAAGGCAATTGCTTCATCTAATTAGGTTAGCGTTTTTATCATGTTAAAAGCTATCTGTTTTTCTAAAATTTCATATTATATAATAGTTTTTCATACTTCATGTTTAATTTTACATGTTAAGCAGGAATTAGTTCAATAAATAATCCACATTGTAAATTATAAAACTTTAACTACCAATAGCAATACACATTTTATTGAATTTAAATCATTTTCAAAATTTCGTCTAAATAAACATTATCAAGTACCATCATGTAAAAAACAAAAAAAAGAAAAACGAATTTCAATTCTAAAACTGGGATGTTAGATAATCAAAACAAAATCTGGTATTTATGTAAAAATCATTATCAAATTTTTTAGCTTTAAACAAAATGAAGAAATATTTATATTTACACGAATATACACTTTGTTCATTATTATGCAGTGTTTGACAGATATGTTAATTTTTTGTACATTTCGAAAGTGTATATTGATATTTGAAGAAATTTAAGTTTTTATTTATTTTGTCTTTTGAAATGTAAAGTAAATATGCTGTAAATTTTGTATTAATTACATATAAAAATTATTAAAATTTTTATCAAAATATTGTATCTTTAAGCAAAATAATTTATGCATTTTATAATCGCCTTTATACAATTAAAAGAGCGAAAAATGTAATATTTTATTTTATGTTTGTAGCTTTAAATAGTGCAATATATATATATTGTGTATATAAACCCTCACACGATATATATATATATTCCCGATACGATACATATATATATCGTATATACATACACTTAATAAGCACATATATTGACATTTTATAATCACACTAACGCATCGTAGTAAATATAATTACGATTTTAAAAATTATTCTCTATTAAATTTCTATGTTGTTGATATTCTGTGGTTGAAAATGTATATGATTCTTAATGGCGTTTGCATTGATTTACATAAATTATTTTAACAATATTAAAAGATAATACATGAAATTGTAGGCTTATTAACATTTATATGTATTATTCTATATAATGTATATAATATTTTATGCTTAGGATATGTTAATATTAGTATATATATAGTGAAAGAAAACACGATCAACACAAACCGTTAGTTAGTTTGTATTCGATTTATCAAGTCTGATTTTCTCTATCAATTTAAATGTTCATAATTTAACTATTATATGTATCTGATTTTTAAATATACATACCTTGTTCTGCGGTAGAAATAATATTTGATAATGTCATATCAATTCATAACAGAAGATCGTACAGAAACTAACGGTCAAAAAGACCAGTCGAAATCAATTATAAATGTTAAGTGGTCAACTTTGTCAGAACGTATAATACCGAAAATTCAAGTAACTTTACAGAGAATCCAGTCGGACATTCAAATCGAATCAAATGTAGATTATGACGATTTGTGCGGACCGTGGGTTTATTCAAAAAATCCTCTTCATAGTAAATATGTTGATTCACCGCAGCCAAGTTTATGTATTTGGAAATATTTTACAGAAGAGGATATAATTTATCTTAAAAAGCATCAAGAAAACAAGCGTCTGATATGTTCTTTTTTTGGTAAATAAATATAAATGTTACTTTGATAAATAGAAATTATATGTGTAAAACAAAATAATATCAGTTTTCTTTTGCAGAAAATAAATTGTTAAATGAGACTACAGGGAAAAGTAATACTGTTTTTATAAATATATTATGGGAATTCTTCAAGCTTACTAGGTATTTGAGCATGTTGAATTTATAAAAAATGTTTTCTCTTTAAAATTTGTAATTGGTATATAATACAAATTTAAAAAGTTAATCTTAATCCATATCTAAATGAATATTTATGAACTTGTATTTTAGGCTAAAATTATTCACTGAAAAAGGTATTTCTGCATGTTTGGGGATCGTGTATTTAACACATTTATTTTTTCTTTCTTATCCGTGGTGGACGGCTCAAAAAGTCCACCAGTTTTTTTATAAAAGCATTTTACTACATGTTGTTTTGGTTTGTATATTTCTCTATCAAATTATATATATAGCATATAATGATGGATCTTTAGAGATGAGCAAAAGTTTGTAAAAGTCTGTAATATGTAATTTTTAGTATCCTCCAAACAGTCTGGAAGTGTTTACTATAAACGAGTGCAAGTTTTTACTTAAATTATTTCACAAAGCATACATAAAAAATCTTGTTTTGCTGCATATTCTGTGTCATACAAAGTATCATTTTACTCTAAAATTACGTACTCCAGAAGATTCAATTATAAAAGATTAATAAAGAAAGTACACATTGACAAGTGAATTATTTACTCGCTGTAAGTTTATATTTTTAAATTGACTCACGCATATAAATATGAAGAACTTCTATTACATAGTAAATAATATAAAAAAGTCTGATGAATTAACAATTTGTTTATATGTCCGTTAAGAAGTATGATTAGTTCATTTTTAGTAGTCATAACTTTCTACATATGTTCATTTACTGGTAGATGATTGGTAACCGCAATCGTGGTTTTCTTCTGCCCCTACATCTGTATTCATCCTGTTAAAACAGTTTTCACTACATTCTACATTATTTTTTCGTAACTCGTTTACTAAATATTTCATTTTAGGGAACCACGAACCGTTACTACACACTGACATGCGCTGTGCTGTCCTTGTAAGATTTAGTTTCTAAATGAAAGAAAGTATTTAAATTTAAGTCAATTAAGATTCATAAAAAGACTTATAATTCATGGTAAATAAAGCAATAAATATATCAGATTTTACATTATGTTTCAAGGAAGTATTTTAGTAAGAATCTTAAATTTAATACATATACTGTAATATAAACCATCTAACGATTGTTTAGACTACAATCAATTAAATATAAATAACAAATTACCCTAATTTCACCTGTTGGGTGAATATAATGGAACATAAATGGAACAGAATTTGAATGAAGAATTTACCAATATGATTAATTAAAAATAATTCAAAATAATTGACCATAAATCTATAGATTCATTCCAGAAAGATACACAATTATAAAGAACAATATGATGTAAAGAACAAATCGGAATATAAATAATTTTAACTTTCACAAATTGAAGTTTCTATAAAATATATTCTTATCATATTGTTTTATTTGTATGTCATTGTTTCATTAAGTATTGTTTTCCAATTATACTATGAATTATAAGACAACTATTTGATTTTAAAAATATATTATCTTTAGTAGTTTTAACTTTCTAATACTCTAAACAGTATATAGTTAGGTCAGTTTGTATTAATTAAAAAAATAAAACAAGAAAGTTTTATGAGTGAAATTACCTTCTGTGATGATACATATTTGGAGCTTGTAGGAAGATGTATATCAATATTTTTTGGTAATATTTGACATCCTGCACAAACATTTCTAACATTCCTCCCACCATGTCTATGTATCCGCTTTAGTCTTTGTATTAGTGCATGATTCATGTGTTTTAATCTCCTTGTTTCATCTACTAATACTCTGTAAATTGTTTTGTCGATTATTTTTGAGAGACTTTAAACTTATAAGTCTTATAATACTAATCTTGGAAATCCTAAAAACACTGACCTCTTTTCAAATTCAAGTTGTACTAATTCCTGTTGTTGGGATTTCAATTTCGTACTAAGTTTGTTTACATATTCTCGTTGTTCTTCCATCCAAACACGTATACAAGAAACGACATATTGCGACTGATTACAAAGTTCCGATCTACTCATTGCCGTTTCTGTTAATTCTGCTGATATGCATGCCAATGATTTATTTTTTAGCTGACACTCTTTTTTTAAATCTAACAAGGATTTGTGTGTCTCTTGCAACTAAAAAAGAATTCATTTTAAATTATTTTTATTGAACTTGTATGTTACAAGCAATTAAATATTTGTTTACCTCTGAAATGATTTCACAATTATTTTGTTCTATTATCGATTTTTCCTTAATAAGATTACAATTTTGTTCCTTGTATTCCTGTAACTGCTGCACTATACAATGATTTGATTCTTCCATTTGCTTAATTTTCTCTTTTTCTCCCTCAATCTAAAAATATAATAAATACTTAAAATTAATATTATGTGATGTAAGATATATATTAGAGATAAAAATATTGGATTAATTTATTACCTGTTGTTGTAAAATATGTAATTGTTCCGCATAAGACTTACAAATATCTTGCAGTTTGCAATGTTCACTATTTTTTGATGAATAGTTTCTTTGAATTTCTTCTAATTCATCTTTAAGTTTATCCAAGCAGTCTGCAAGTATAGTTTTCTCTTTCTCTATAGTTGATAGTTTTAGGCAATAATCCATTTCCTAAAATAGTTAAACAGAAAGTTAAGAGAATTTTCAGTTAGATAAAATATTTAAAGATAATAAGCACCATATTTGTTAAACATTCTTGTAAATCAGCTTCTCGTTTTGTTATCTTGATTAATTGTTCTTGTGTTCTATTAAAATCTTTAGTGACTCTGCAATAATTATCTTCAGTGAAGCATAATTGCATTTGAAGATCTTTCAACTGAAAAGAAATAATATTGACATTATTTACAATCTTAAAATTAATATATGATAAAATATACTGTATACTATAGCTTTTAATTGGCAAATATCTTCTTTTGTTTTATCCTCAAAATTGCTATTCTCCATCTTCAATATAGAATTCTCATTCTGAAATAAGACATTTTTGAGTAGTCAATCAATTTTTGAGTATTCTAAAGTAGTAAAGTCAAATATCAAATATTAGTACATACTTTCATCACTTCATAATCTGCCTGCAATTTAGCCATATCATCTGATTTTTCCTTTAACATTGTTTTCAAAGATTGTATCCTTTCATGTAAAGTTGACATCTCTTCTTCTGCTTCATTTAATTCAGATAAATATGCATTAATTTGTTTATTTTTTATATCTAACTTTTTTTCGAGTTCTTCAATAATTTCTGTTTGTTTTTTTATAACAATTTCATTATTCACTATCTGACTGCATAAATCATTAATCTGCACATAATGGAATAAAATATCAGTATGATTTTTTACTTAACTAGAATTTCACATTATAATTATTAGAACTGTTTTTCTTATTGTGAAATATACCTGTATCTGCCTATCCTCTAATTTCTTTAACAATTTCTCAAATTTTGTGTTATTTTCCTGAGATAACTGTAACTTTTCTAACAAGTCCTCTATTTCGATAGTTTGCTTTTTTAAATCACATTTAAGTTGTTCATTTTCATATTGTAGACAACACTCTGTATCTCTTAATTTTTGTAATTCAAATGAAATTTGTTGAACATAAGTACCACTTTCTTTTTCTGTTTTCAGTTCTTTGTCAATGATGTCAAAATCCAATTTATATTTTTGTAATTGTCTTTTCATATCTTCGTTTTCTCCAATTAAAATTCCAATTTCTGATTGCAAGTCATGTTCATGTGATAAATTTTTACATTGTTCCGTATTATTATATGTTAAGTCACTCCAATCAAATATATCTTGAGTAGTGCAGTTTTTGTCTTTAACTTCTATTTTATATTGACATCCTTTATCTTCAGTAATCTTTGTTTTATGTTCAATCTTCAACGTTTCTTTCCTAAATCAATTAACAGTACAATATTTCTTAAAATATATATTATACTTCTACATTAACAAAATTCTATATTAAGATATTACCTTAATTCCAGCAATTTTCCTTCTGCTTCTTGCCATAACATTTTTGTGTTCAAATATTTACTTTCCAAGTAACATTTTGATTGTATTAAAGTATCTCTCTGAAATGATATTAACATATTTTGGACATAGTTTACAAGAATATATGTTTATGAAATAAAGCTTGTTGTACCTCATTTTTTAAAGCTTCAATTTCATTTACTCGAGTTTCCAGTTGTTCCTAAAAAATTTATATTTATTAATAGATACAATTATTATAATTAACTCTCTTTTAATATCTTAATATTAAAATAAATATTGTAAAAACTAATAGTAACTTATATTTAGTTTAATAACTATACACAAATACAAAATGCAATAAAACTCTGATAGTAAGAAATATATCATCTTTTTATTATCAGAAAAAATATGTACAACAATTTTGAGTTATTATCTACAGCAATATTTTAAATTCCTCTACCTGTATTGTTTTTAAAATTGAATAATATGTGATATGGATGAAAGTAATAGCTGTGCTGTTATCGTATTCCATACTACTAATTTTTTGTTGAAGATTGTGAATTGCGTCTCGTTGTAGCTCTAACAATTTATCTTGTTTAGCTGCCTATATGAAAGGAATATATTACTATAAATGGTATTTAATTTCGCAAACAATAAATTATATTCTTAATAGATTAATAAAATTAATTATAGATAAAAGAGTCTACTATACCTCTGCAAAGCATTCATTATATTGACTTTGAGTTTCTTCTGCATACACTGTGAGTAAACGAATAGCTTCAATTTTTTCTTCAAACTGTAAATTACAAACTGTTCGATTGTTTTCCTACAAATAATACTTCAAAATGTGTAATAAGTTCATATTAACAACACCACCAAACACAAATGTTGCTTTTAAGTATCACAATTCATTATCAAGTCACACAATCAACTTCTACAACACTATATTTGAAACTAAACAAGAAAATTATATAGTGTTAGTTATCTAAAATTATTGGTATGGTCAAAATATGAAACAAAATACATGCAAGTTATTTATTCAGTTATTTATTGTAACAATAAACAGTGATAAACTTTAATAATAAGTAATATATTGTTATTATTAATGAGCATAATTTTTGTATACAGAAATACATATATTTTTATTTTAAAACAATAAGATATAGACTTCTATTAAATATTTTTAACAATCATCAACAATATTTACAAAAATGAAGTGTTGGGCATTAATAAATATATTGCACAAGTAATATGTAATATATATGTAATATATGCAATTTTGAGGTATTGCTTAATTTAAATTTTTGAATTTAAATACTATTCAAATATTATGAAATTGTAGAAATTTAAATATTTTCAATAATGTACAATTGTTTTAAATTTAAAGATATGTTCTACATCTAAAATATGGAACTGATTTCAATAATTTTATAATTATTATAATCTGTCAAAATTTTTTAAATTATGCTGTAAATTGCTATCTTATTTTCTAACAAAAGTATGTTGAATGTCTGTTTTTACAAATAAGCTATATGTTACTTGCACATGTTTCACTACACGTTTCATTACAAGTTAACGTTTAAACATCATGCACGTTTCTTTGACTGTATACTGCAGATGAAATTGTAGGCCATTGTTCATTCATATCACTCACTGTTCTATGTCCCATTTGATCTATACATTTTTTAGCTTCCACTACAGCATTTTGTAAATGACCAATAGTTTGAACTTGAAGCTCGTTCTAAAAACGAATATATTTTTATATCAACTGACAGAGGAAGTTTTTATATAAACTAGAGTAAAACCAATAAATAAAAATAGAAATTTCTTCTATAATAATTATTAATAATATAAAATTAATACAGACCTGTTCTAATAATTCTTTCTTTTCCTTTTCATATTGAGAAATTATTTGATCTTGATTATCAATCTAGAAATGTGTTTATTACATACTGTATTAAAATTTGGATACTTATAGTTAACATACCTTTAATAATAAATCTTGATAGTTTCTTTCTAATTATCACATTTTCAATAAAATAATTGTATGTGTATATCAATTTTGCATCATAAATTTAGTATAAGTGATGTATAAAGTTACTTAAATTTATCCAAGCAAAAAACTTAAGTGATATAACTTAAGAATTAAATAGATAATTTCAATATACTTTTGGTATTAAATTCTAATCTAAATATTAATTTTTGATAATTATAAACATTATAACTCTTCCTATAATTTATGTATGTTATACATACAGTTAGTCTACAGCCATTCTTATTAAATATTACAAATGATTCTTTTTTAAAATGTTTTTGAATATTAACATACCTTTTCTTGAAATTTTTTGTGAAGTTCTTTTAATTCAGCTTGTGTCATTACAATGGAATCCTTTTGGATTTTAATAATTTCATCCATATTTTCTATCTGTAAATATAATAGTATTTAGATGCTGTTAATAATTTTGTCCAAATGAAAAAATGAAATAATAATTACAAGTTTATCTTTAGAATACAATGTATTCTTGAGTTCTTCAATTTCTTGGGTACAATTATCTAATTCATTTTCATACTTCTGTAATTTTTCTAGTAAATTCATTAATGTCTTTGCAGAAGAACAGCTATTAGATGAGTCTTCACAAATCTAAAAAATATATTATTCCAAAATAAACAATAATAAAAATTTGTATGTATATTATAATGTGTAAGTTTTACACAGGAGATAATGAAAATAATGAAATTTAATCAAACCAATTTTTTGAATTCTGCTTTAAGTTCTTGAAGGCCAGTTTTTGTTGATTTTATGGTGTTTTGCAGTTTTTTAAATAACTGAGGTGCAGTCTACAAATATAAATCTACCTATTACTCTTACTTTAATGACTTATTTTGTATGAATAATTAATAACACTTACCATTGTGTCATATCTGAACTGATAACAGCCATACCGTAACAAAGTTTCTTCCATGCTATGTTCATTGTGCTTTTATAAAATGTAAAAAAGAATTAAAAAAATTTTTTTAATGATGTAAATAAGAAAGATATAAATATAATAATCAGACTTTTGCAAGAAATCAACTTACAGAAGAATTTAATAATTCTTTAGATCTTTTTAATTCAATTTCGCTATCATTCAATTGCCGCTGAAGAGTACATTCAATTTCCTTTTGAAATTTAAGCTAAAATTCAAATACATACAAAATAATTGTATCTAATAATATTGTAATACTCTATATTAAATAATTGTCTATATATATTTACGGTATTTTCTAATTCTATAATCTTTTTCTTTAATTTCATATTATCTATGGAATTAGATCGTCTATAATTATCTGCTTTTGTTTGTGTTATATGCAGTTCCTCTTCTATTGATTGAATGTTATTTCTTAAAAAATTGTTTGCTTCTTCATTGCACTTTGCCTGCAGAAGTGAAATTTGTTAATAGGTATAAAAATATATCACAATTTATTAAAACAACAATCAGTACGTCACTGTTATCATACTGTATTACAGAAGATAATTAAATATTACATACCTCATGTTGTAGTATTTTAACTTGATCTTGTAAGTCAGTTACTCTACATTTCCATGAACATGTTTTCTTATCACATTCAGGGTGGAGTGATGACTGTAAAATATTTATTACAAATAAGTAAATTTACTTATAATATGATATAATTAAAATAATTTATAAGTTCCTCACTTGTGATAACTTATATTTTAATTCATCATATTCTTTCCTTAATTTATATACAGCTTGTTTAGTTTGCAGTATCTCATTTAAAATCTAAAATAATATAATATTTTTATATTAGAGTGATAATAGAGAGATTTGGGAATAAATAACATGAAATGATTAAATGACATAAAATATTACTTGTGTATATAATTGAGCCTCCATAATATTATAATCAGATACCTATTACATAATTGGAACAAAATTAAGTGAAATTTTACCTTAATTATAATATAAATAGTAATGTAATATAAAAATGATAAATACATACATGTTCTTTTGGAGAAAAAAATGATTCCAACACGTTTTTTACTTTTAAATGAATCACATCAACTTCTTCTTCTAACTTTTGTAATTTTTGTTCTTTTTGTGAAAGTGTCAATTCTACTATGTCATGTTCTGTCAACTGCAAAGAATAAAGCTCAATTAAGTAAAATTGAAATTAAGAAATAGTTAAGAAATATTTATAGTAATAAATACACAACTGCTTCATCTATTTTTTCTTGTAATTTTCTTGTAGATGAATCTACTTCACAAAATTGGTTCTTCACTTTTTCAAACTCTTTTACTATGCAACATCCCTTAAATAATTTAAATATTATTCATTTATTATTAATATTTTAACACTATTTTATACAATAAAGAATTTCAAAACTTTACTTGAACTTGAAATATTTGCAGACTAGATGATGTTTGTTCTATTTCTTCGATTACTGAACATAATAGGTCGTAGTTGGATACATTTTCTGCATAACTAGATATATTTTCCTAAAATTTGAATAGAATAATTAACTTAGTTAGCCAGATATTAAACTTAAGTAGAGAAATTAAATTTGTTCTGTACATTGGTCTGCATTTCATTTATATGAATTGACAATTGGGATTGGGACAGATTTATTTCATTTTTTATGTCTTTTAATTTATTCTTTCTTGAAGTAATTCTATCATTGTGTCTTATTCTTTCTTCTCCCTATAATGAAGAGAAAAAGTTTATTAATTGCAAGGTGATAACATTAAATATAATTAAATTTAATGATTCTTACTTGTAATTGTAATTCATTAATTACTTCTGCTATTATCCCCCGACTTTTTATTAACTGATTTTGTACATTCATAACTTCTTTATTCAAATCAACATACTGTAAAGATCTTGTCATTAATACAAAATCATGCTAGTAATATGTAATTAACACACAATAATATAGTTCACCTTTTGATGTCTACATTTAAATGAAGAAACAATTATATTTATTTCATCTTTCATATCTTCCATAGTAAGTTGTGCTTCAACAATACATGCTCTGAATATGTCCATTAATTTCCGTCGGTTAATGTCCGTGCTTGGCTAAAATACATTAATTTTTGTTCTTCATGTTAATAACTTACATTACAATTTATCATAAAACATTTATTGATACAATTTAAATATTATTTAACATAATACTTACTAAGCAATTAAAATCTTCTACATGAAAAAGATGATTATTTTCCATTTGGAGCTAAAGCATAATATAGAATATAATAAATAGTATAATATAATATTTAAATATACAAAATTATTTTTTCACTATATGAATGATTTAAAAAATTATACATACTAAAGAATTAATTATTTCAATTGATTCCTCCTTTTTTAAATGTATTTTGTCCACATATTCAATATTTTTAGCTAATTTATACCTTATATTATCCACATTATTTTCACTATCAATCGTTTCGTATTCCTGTTCAATTAGAAATATCAAACAGTTCTTTTGTAAATAATTATTTTCATAAGAAATTTACAAGTATTGTTTATTAGTATAACTATTTTAAAGCAATGTTAATAACAATAAACATTTTTCAATTAAAAATATGTGCTAAATAATATAAAATTTTTATTGCTCTACATTTTATTACAATTGAAAATATATATTATGTGCAAATACTATCGGAATCAATTAAGCTTTCTGTTTTTAAAAATACTGGAATTCCTTATTAAATTGAATTATTCTTCTTACGATTTCTTCGCGATATTACAGACAACTGAAAAATGTTTATTCATAAGATCGTTATCCAGAGATAGCTTATTAAAAATGAAGTTAAACATATCCTCTAAAAAAATATTCAAAAAGATAACAATAAATTCTTCTTTTTATATTACTTAATCAGAAAATGACACATTCTATTCAATATCTTGTTGACATAAAAATGTGCATTTGTATGTTACCAACTTTATCTTTTCTGCCACATAAGTTTTCTACAGTTTTTTCCAATTCTATCTTTAAATTAAAGAGGTCTTCCTTTTCTTGTTCCATGAATGATTTTACTTTACTCAAATATAATAAAATTTGATTCTAAAAATTAAAATCCATTTAAAACAGTATTTGACAATATTATATACAATAAATATAAACACTAAACTTTCAATATTTATATATATATATATATTACCTGTTGATTTGTAGGATTCCTTGACCTGTTAACATCCTACAAAAAGAGTGTGAAGAAAAGTATAAGCAAAAAATATGTTAAATGCAAATGAGATATTAATTATTTTGATGTAAATGTTAGAAATAAAAGGCAATCATATTGAAATATAATATAAAAGGGACCAACTTTACATATAATATATAATATATTATTAATAACTTATAAACTAAATGTTAACATAATGATTTAACATCTCAATTATTATATCTATTGAAAAACGTACATTAATTTTCAGATTTTTCGAAAATAGAAGTATCTTTGTTGTTTAATAATTGTTTGTGTGTATTAACAGATGGTAGCTTTTTGCTATATTTCAAGATCTTTTTATCAATATCATGAAAACTCTTATGCATATCAATTTTATTATATTTAGTATTCTTATGACAATTTATTATTTTTGTTTTTAAATTATTGTGTTTTGTTTTCATTATAGATACATCTTTTGTTAATTTATTATGATTTAAAATATTGTTAATGTAAGTTTGCAAAAACGAATCATTATTGTGCTCAGCAGATGTATACATCATTTTTGGTATCATAATTTTCTCACATAATTTATAAAAAGATTCCATTTCTTGATTGTCAATAGTAACTTTGTCATAACGATTACAAGTATAAGGAAAGAAGTTAGAATATAGAAACTGAAAATAAAAAACATCATTGTTATCCATTTACAAATCCACAAATTACTGTTTATACCTTAGCTCGTCTTAATTTTCTTCGCATTTCTTTAATAATGCCTTCTTTAAAATGAATTTGCATGTTTGTAGAACGACATTGCTCTTGTAACATAGTTACTTGTTTTTGCAGAGACGTTACTACTTCGTTTCTTTCTGTCACTTCTGCTGTTAAGACAATTTGCTTCTGTATTGATTCCTAACAGTTGATACAAATAGAATTATAAATAAATTATCATTGGATAATAAAATATACATTCGAGCAAATAGCACAAACTTTTTGTAGATTAACCATTTGCTGCTCTATTTCTTGAATTGTCTTGTACTTTTCATTCAACTGAATTTTTAAATTATTTAAACTTATATCGCTATTACGAGTTACTATTATCAAATTAGATTCCGCGTCACGTAAGCGTTCCTGCAAGTTTTTTGTTTCTAGATCTTTTTCAATGAATAGTTTTTCCACAATACCAGCCACTAACATAATCTGGATAGCAACAAAAGTTTTAAAGATAATTTATCACTATATTACTCTAGCGAATCTCATACATTTGAAAATATTTCATATTTCAACATGATTGCCTTGTTATTCATTATTTAATCTATGTAATTTTTAATTACTTCACTTTATCAGAAATATAATTACATAGACGTATACGTTCATATATACTTCAAATTGTGATTCAAAAGTATTAACTTACTTAAGATAATATTAACTTACATCAACAGGTTCTTGATCATTTACTATAAATGAGCTACATGCAATTTGCTCAGTAAATTTAACATGTTTTCTAAGATTGTCACTAAGATTTTGAAATTGAGAAACACATGCTTTAACAGTATCTTCTTTTGTTTGCAATTTTGCATTAAGATCTATTAATTTATCCTCTAACTCTTTTTGATATCTAAAAAACATGGAATTTAGTGTTAATAACAAATATATTAAAAAATATTTATTATTTAAATTCATTTTTCATTTTCACTTACACAATCATTCTTTTTTCATTTTCTTGAAGATGTTTGATTTGCAATTTTAAGGACTGCATCTTTTTATAACTTATATCTCCCTAATTTTAAAATCATAAAGTTAATTTCAAACTTTCATTACTCATACATATTACAGTAAATTTAAATATAAGAAGAACAACAATTTGTACATAATTATATTACATACCCACCATTTATTTTACATAAAAATTATAGCATAATTATAGCATATTTGACAAAGAATTTATCAAAAAGAGTGTAGGAGATTAAAATATAAAATAAACAACATATACCAATTATATATCTATATATATATATAGCAAAAAGTAAAAACTTAATTAAAGTGTTGTCGAATGGGTAGGATGTATCATGCATATACTTCCATCTAATGGATAATCTGATTTATTCATGAAATCATGACTAATTTGTATTCTAAGTTTCAATCTCTTATCAGCATCTACATTTATATTTACCTGATCACAGGTACAGCTGCAAAAGTATGAAAGAAATTATATTACTTAATTTGTTTAGAATATTTAATTAGCCTGGCAGCACACACTTGGAGATCCAACAGATCCCTACCATGTGGATTCTTATTTTATGTGGATTTCCATTTTAGAAGTTCATGTATATACTGCCAGGTTCATGAAACTTAATAGGAACTTACTTAGTGGGGACAGGTATATCACTAGGTTGAATTTCAAAGAATTTTATATCATCTAAATTCCAATGATTTTCTTGCACTGCACGTCGTATTAGTTCTAATAATCCTCTGATATCACTTTGAAGAAATTCTATTTTTTGTTGCATATATTTTTCATCTTTTTCTAAGATACTTACACGGTTTGAAAGTGTATGTATAGTCTATAATAATTATTATTTGCTATATAAATTTGCATTATATATATATATATATATCATACCATAGTAATCTCAAAGAAAAATTTCAAACACCATACCATTTCTGTATTCATTGACTTTGACATGTTCCCAGAAACTAACACTGATGAATGTTTTAATTTTTGTTCCAATAATTTAACTCTATTACAAGCAGCTTGCTCTAAATCCTCTACTACTTGTACTAGCATAACATTTTGCTCTTTTAAATTTTTTATCCATTCTTTTGATATTTCTAATTTCATCTATGAAATATTAAATAACAATAAAAGTAGAAGTTTCACATTAATAATTGAAAATATAGATAAATATACATTCATTTCCATTGTTTTCTTAATTTATTATTGTCAATTTTCTTGCAAAAAGGAATAAATATTTTTAATGTTTTACATTTGCACTTATGCAAATAAATTAAATTAACTTTATATATTATAAAAGAACTTACACAAACTTGATCAAATTCATTTTCGAACTCTCGATCAACATTTTCAATACGAGTTTCGTATAATTTTTGAAACTCATTGATAATTCTTAAAGTTTCAGTTTCGCCGCAAAATTCCCCGATAGTTTTATCAATAGCAGTACAATTGCAGTCTTCATCAAAAATCTTAGAAATCTCTGGGATAGATTCGATCGTTGAATCAAATGGGTTCATGGCACATTAATGAAAAGGTCGAATAACATGAATAAATTATTAGTTTATTAAATTAAAAATCTTCCTACACTCAGGTTAAAAATAATCTTAAAATAACCATCAACATACTAGCTCGCCATCTTATCATTAGAGTTGTCAACGTGTTTTTACATCCATGAGCAATAGTTAAGTAAGAAGCATAACTCTATCCTTTTTTAAAATTCCATTTACAGATAGTTGAAAAAGCAGCTTTAATATTACTATGAATAATTTTTCAAATATAATTCTAATTTATTATATATATATATTTAAATTATTAATTTCGCTTTTAATAACGAATTTGATTTAGTTATTAATATTTTTATTTGATTTTTATATCATAAACATTTTTATATTATGAATCGTATTTTTCTATAAAAGAAAGGAAAATCCTTAATACTATTAATAAAAACTGAAAAATTATATAAATATGTATAAAATGACATGAATATATAAATGATAATTATAACAATCTAACTATAGCCTTATTAATTGACCGAAATTCTATCTTGCTATCTGGCCCTTACTATTCTCACCTATTTTTTGTATAGGTTCTTTCGTAACAGAATTTCTGGTGATAATTCTTCGATAATTGAGTAGTGGTCAGATTTGTTCCCTAAACGTGGTCAGTTAGCAATTCAATATTATATTTCGAAAAACATATTTGAGAAAAGAGTTCAATGATATCTTATAGAATTAATTACTTTTTCACCAAATTCAGGAATTGAATCAACATTTTTAAAAATTTGATTAATCAACTCTTACAAACATGAATAGGTTATAGTAGTTATATGTATTAAATCACAGTTTATAGGTTTAGTTTGAGTTATTTTAACCACGTGAATAATTATTTTTACACATAAATAATTAGTTATTTTGAAAGAAATTTTTGATATTCTTGTTGTCTTGAAACATATTTCTTACTAGTATATAAGGTGATTAAAATATTTTTGATTTATGTAATGAAAATTAAATGTGACAATTTATGTAAGTTATTTAATTTATCATTTGCAATAAATATTTTTAAAAAAGACATAAGCATGTGTTTTATACAAATTTTTAGATTGCTTGTCCTGAAAAATATCTCATAATTTATTCAACATGAGTAAAAGAAAACTTGAAGAAGAAGATAAGACCAAGCAACACAATGAAAATTTTTCAGCAGAAATAAAAAATGTTAAACGGATTTTATCACGTTTGAAATCAGATAAGGGTGACATATTACCGGGAGGTTTACTAGATTTACCCATAAATATTACTGTTGATAAATTACAAGAAATTTGTAATGCACTTCTACAAACTGAAGAATCAATACCTTTTGCTTTTTATGTAAATAACATTGAGATCACAGATAGTTTAGAAAACAGTATCAAAGAAAATTTTAGCATTAGTGAGGATGTAATTGATATTATATATCAGCCACAAGCAATTTTTAAAGTTAGAGCAGTTACACGGTGTACTGGGTCATTGGAAGGTATATATTTTATTATATAAAATGATAGAACTTTATATTATATAAAGTAAAGGCATTTATTATATTCAGGTCATAAAGAGGCTGTAATATCAGTCGCTTTCTCACCAGCTGGAACATATTTAGCTAGTGGTTCTGGAGATACAACAGTAAGATTTTGGGATATATATACGCAAACTCCACAGTATACATGTGAAGGTCATAAACATTGGGTATTATGTATATCATGGTCTCCATGTGGAACTAAGCTTGCATCTGCATGTAAAAATGGTACAATTTTATTATGGAATCCAAAAACAGGGACACAGATAGGCGAGTAGTATTAGAAGTTTACTTTTAATGAACATAAATTAGTAATATGATTTACATTTTACTCTTATAAATTTGTAGGAAAAGCAATGTTAGGACACAAAATGTGGATCACCTCTTTATGTTGGGAACCATATCATAAAAATCCTGAATGCCAGTATTTAGTTAGTGGTTCAAAAGATTGTGACCTGAGGATATGGGACACAGTACGCTCACAAACTATTCGTACTTTATCTGGTCACACAAAAAGTGTGACATGTGTTAAGTGGGGTGGTAGTGGCCTTATTTATTCTGGTTCACAAGATAGGACTATCAAAGTATGGCGAGCTAAAGATGTAAGTTTTGTAAAAATACTTTGAACATTGTAAAATTATTAAATGTTTCATTAAAATTGATTGAATATATTTAGGGAATCTTGTGTAGGACTTTAGAAGGTCATGCACATTGGGTGAACACTTTAGCATTGAATGTGGATTATGTACTTAGAACTGGTTCTTTTCATCTTGGAAAAGATAAGGAAACAAATGAAGATCGCCTAGAATATGCAAAGAAGCGTTACGAATCTGTAGGGGAAGAACTACTTGTTTCTGGTTCTGATGATTTTACATTATTTCTATGGAGACCAGAAAAGGAAAAGAAATTTATTGGTATTATTCATTATTACATAAGTACAATGAGTATCATAAAGTAAAAATATTTATTTTTTTATTATTCATTTTAGCAAGAATGACAGGACACCAACAGTTAATTAATGATGTGAAATTCTCGCCAGATGGTCGCATAATTGCATCTGCTTCATTTGATAAGTCTATAAAATTATGGGAATCAAATACAGGGAAGTATATAACTTCATTAAGAGGTCATGTGCAAGCTGTATACTCAATCTCATGGAGTGCAGATTCCCGTTTACTTGTCAGCAGTAGCGCAGATTCTACCTTAAAACGTAAGCAAATTATATCTAATATGTTAATTTGGACCTAAATTTGTTATTAAAATTGTTTTACATTTTTATCCTAGTATGGAGTTTAAAAACAAAAAAACTTTGCCAAGATTTACCTGGTCATGCAGATGAAATTTATGCAGTGGATTGGTCTCCAGACGGGTTGCGTGTTGCATCTGGTGGAAAAGATAAAGTTTTGCGACTTTGGCAGAATTGAATAATGTATAGAACAATACATTTTTTAATATACAGTTTCGAAATTTTGTTTATTTTAATTACATTCACTCATCGTAAGGGGTTTGATAGGATGAACTTCGTGGGAGTCAAACGGTATGAACACTTTACAAATTACGTGTATGAACCATTTTTTCTTTTTTTTCTAGTTTTTCAATATCTTTATTTACACTTACATAACGTAATGCAAAATTAAATGTTTTACCACAACATACATAACTGTTCCATTCATAGTACACAATGAAATATTACAATCTACCCACAACTCAGTTTTTATATATATAAGATATATATATATATACAGAGTTATCCATTATTGCAATCAAATGTCGTTCGCCATCTATGAGCTGTTGTTAGAAGTATAATTAGGCGAGGACACAGACCAGTTTGATAATCGCCGATGGACTATAAATTTGAGGTCACAATAAGGAGAAAACGATTGGTGAGAAAGCGAGCCTCGCGTTTTCACCCGACTATTTCATGTCCCTGCGTGCTCCTGAAGCTTCGAAGCAAGCAAACGCACCCGATTCTGTTGCCACATGTAACTTAATTTTTCACTTTTAGTAACTCATATCTTGGATTATGCTTACCTAAAATGTAATTACAATGTTTTGTTTAAAATTGTGTTTGAAGGCGCTGTGTTCTCGCCTAATTATACTTCTAACAACAGCTCATACATTGCCATTCTCATATGTTCTCGCGAACGCAGGGTCCGAATTAAGTGGATAATCCTGTAAGTATTAAAGATAGCAATTTATGTTTCAATATAAAAAAATAATCAAGTTCGAGAGGTACATTGGTATTAATACTTAACACTAAATTTTACTGTACATATATAATCTTCAATTGTCATCATCGTCTGATATGTATCTTTTAATGACTTTTCTTCTCCGACTTCCTCTACCTTCAATCTTCTTTTCTTTCAATTTAATTTTTCTTCTAACACTAGAATCTGCATCTGATCCTTCTTCACCTTGATCTTATAAAAATTGCATGCACATACAATCATTTTAGTCTTATTGTTTCATTTTCTGTTATTAAAGTGCGATAATAAGAAGTACCTTTATCATTTATGTCAGAAATATTGTTTTCCTCTTCAATTCGTTGACGTGCATCCATGAAAACAGATTGTAGAACAATGGAATCTTCGTATATGAGAGAAGCTTCCTCATTATAAATTTGTGCGTTTTTGCAAAGCTGCATAAAATCTTTTTCAAGCTCGTCAAAGTCAGTGTACTGTAATAATAAGTATAGAATAAACTTTATAATTGAATATAGAATTGATGAAGATATTGAATATAGAATATAGAATTGAATAGATATAATTACAATAATTACAAAATAGAGAATATATAAGAAATAATATATATTTACCTTTCCATCTTCAATCTTTTGAAGTAATTTATTGATAGTTAATGGCTTTTTAATAATTTCATAATAATCCGGTAATTCTCTTTTAGATGGTAATTTCATAAACGGTTCGCTGAGAATTCTACCTGTGCTATCAGCGTAATTAATGACTGCCATAAGCAACTTCTTCAAAGTTCGTTTTATTTTTGGATCAATTAAAATCCTTTTTCGTTTCTTTTGCATAAGCTCGTTGTCTTCCTCGCCCTTTTTCTTTCGCCTCCGCGTATTCTTCTTTTTTTTATCGTCTTCCTCCTCTTCCTCATATTCAGCAACATCTTCGTCGATTGCTTTTAGCCATTCTCTTTCAGTCAAACTGTCAGTATAATCAACTTCTTTTCGTTGTCTTGAGCCACGCCCAAGGAATTTATCTTCTTCTTCTTCAGACGCCCACTTTTCAACTTCATCATCATCTTTTACTAACCAATCGGGCAACTCAGCTTCTTCTAATAATCGAGATTTTCTATTTAGACCTAGCTTTGCTTCTTCCCTTCTTCGTTCTAAATCTAATTTTTGGAATATTTCAAATTCACCTTCTGTTCGTGCGATCATCTGATTAACCGTTTCATCGTCTGGTACTTCATTTTCTTCTTCATCTTCAGCATCATCTTGATGCAAAATGCTTTGTAAAAATTGTTGTCGTTCAGAACCAGTGGACTTCTGATCGAACATTCCTGCTTGTATAATCTTTTCATCCATATTTAACTTGTATTTAGCTGCAGCTAATATTCTTTCTTCAACCGAATTAACCGTCATCAATCTGATTACACGTACTTCATTTTTTTGACCAATTCTATGTGCTCTATCCTGTGCTTGTAAATCCTGGTGTGGATTCCAATCAGAATCAAAAATAATAACGGTATCCGCAGCTTGCAAATTTAATCCAAGACCACCAGCACGAGTTGATAACAAAAATAAGAAGTATTCAGAACCAGGATCATTGAATTTTTTTAGTAAACCTCCTCTATCCTCAGCTTTTGTAGCGCCATCTAATCGTAAATATTTAAATCCTCTCCAATTTAAATAATCTTCCATAATTGTCATTAACTGTGTCATTTGGCAGAATAATAGTACCCTGTGATTTGTTACTTTCAATTTCGGAAGAATACGATCTAACAATTCAAATTTTCCAGATGCACGGTACAAATCGGGACCAGTAACGATACCAGATCCTTGTGTACCTACATGCTCGCAGTATTTTTCTTCAATAGCTTGAAACATGAATGGGTGATTGCATAATTTTCTTAACTGCACAATAGTATTCATCAAAGCTTTAGCACCTCCTTTACCCTGTTTTCCTTTTTCTGAGCCATCAGTTAACAATACTCCTTTGCTTTGCATGTGTTTATAGAGAACCTTTTGCAGTCCAGACATTTCACACTTTATAATATATTCTACTTTGTCGGGTAACTGTGACTCAACTTCTTTTTTTAAACGTCTCAATAAGAAAGGACGTAATACTTTATGTAATCGACGTATAATAAGAATAGTTTCTTCTTCATTTAGTTCGACTTTTTCGCCAGTGGTTGCAAATGGAGCATTGAACCATTGTTCAAAAGTACTGCAAGATTTGAAGATTGAAGGAAGTAAGAAATTTAATAATGCCCATAATTCAGGCAATTTATTTTGCAATGGCGTTCCTGTCAGTAAGAGTCGATGAGGAGCCAGATAATGAGTATTTAGCACTTGAGTTAGCTTACAATGGTGGTTTTTCATTCGATGTCCTTCATCTATAATCATGTACTTCCACTGCAATTTTGCTAAGACCGCTTTGTCTTTAATAACGTATTCGTATGTAGTAAGTAAAACGTTGAATTTAGTAGCTCTCATTTGAGACTGAATAGCTCTTCTGTTAGCTGGTGAACCTTTATATGATACAACTACGACGCTGGGGGCCCATTTCTCAAATTCAAGCACCCAATTTGATAACGTTCTAAAAGAAAGTATTAAACGTTAGAATAACATATTAAAAATATAATTTTCTTTTATTTTTTATATTTCTTATATTTTAAGATATTTAACAAAAGTAATACGTACGATAAAGGAACAATTATAAGGAATGGGCCATTCACTTTTTTTTTCTCCATAAGATAAGTCACTAAAGCTATTGTTTGAATAGTTTTACCGAGACCCATTTCATCCGCAAGTATACCGTTCAGATTATTGTTAAATAATGAAACTAGCCATTCCAAGCCCTAAAATTGATGGAAAGTTTAGGATATATGTTGTAAAAACAGTTTTGAATGCTTGAAAACATATTAATATCAAACCTTTATTTGATATTCTTTCAATTTTCCATTGACCATGATAGATGCTTGCTCTGTTACTATCTCATGAACGGTGTGTGCAATACTATAATATGTTTGTTCTTCGGTTTTGTATTCATCATCTTCTACTTTGGCTTTCTGTATCGTTTTTTTAACTTTTTCTTCGTCTAAATCGCCAGTAGACTTTTCACCTTTTTCTTCACCTTCGTTTCCTTCTTCTTCATCATCTCCATCTTCTTCACTTTCTGATTCAATTGGTTCCCAACCTGGATGGGATTCTAAAAATGTTGAAAGTTGACTCATTAGTGGAGCTTCTTCGCCAGTCAATGTGCAGCCAGTAGCTATTTCAATCACTCCAACACGAGTATCTTCATCTCCATCATCAGCTTCTTCACCATCTTGTTGCTTCTTCTTTTTCTATATAAGTGATAACACAGTATTTATTAAACTGATTAATAAAGATTAATGAAAGCAGTAAAGAATATGTGTACCTTCTTAAGCTTCCGTGCTTCCACCTGCTTTTTCTTTTGTTCTATCTTATGTTGCTTTACCATCTCAGTAAGATTACCGATATATTCATCTGTCTGTGACAATAGAAATGCTAATCGTTTGTCTTTCTTTTGATCAATCAGTTTTCTGTAACCTTCTTCGTCTTCTGCCATTAGACGTCTCATACGTTCTTTCTCGATACGCTCTTGTTCTTTCTTCTGCTCTCTTTCAGCATTTGCATGATAATTGAGAACAGCTTTGTTAAGTCTGGCCAATCTGGCCACATTATTTCGATAAAATTCCTTGAAATCTTTACCATGTTGAAGTACAGAATTAATAAATTCCTGGTAAAATAACAATAAAGATTATATATTATTTTCTATTTAATAGCATTTTGAAAAGTTAGAAATTTAATTACCTGATGTTTCTGTCTGCGCTTACGTTCAGCCTCCAATTTTTGTTGTTTTTCGAGTTTTTCGGTAGCTCTAGCTTCTCGAAGACCTTGTCTTTTCGTACGTTTATAAGCCTTTACATTCACTGCACTTTCTAAAGTAGTATCCTTTCGAGTGCACGCTAAAATCTCTGATCGTAATTGTCTTTGAAAATTTAATACTCTAAGCATCCGTAGTTCTATTTGAACTTGGATACGAAGATCTTCTGGCATGTTGGTTGGCAAACTGTTCAATTGTTCCATTCGTAATGCTATGCGTGTTGCAACACTGTTTTCACGTTCTTGTAAAATCAGTAACGGGTCTAAACCAACTGGTTTTGCAACAGTTGTCACTTTGTTAGCTTTAACATATGGTTGAGGAGGAAGTTGTGGTGTCTGACAACTTGCTTTTGGAAAAATTGCTGGACCAATTAAGTTCGAACCAGAGATTTGTGGAGCTGTAGAAACAGGTCCTTGAGATGGATCCACAGGGGTACGTTGTCCCACACCTAAAGAGGGAGATGCTCCACCTATTTACATTAATTCTACATCAAACTCTCATTATAGATTATGCTACTCTATCTTTCTATTTTCACAATATGAATATCTACTCTTGTTGGAAAGAATATAATGAAGTTATAAATTAAACCATTAAGTGGGTGCATCGACTAATCTAACTGAAGTTAAGACTGTACGCGTCCCGGACATGAAGAAAAATGTATTACTTTCATATGTAAAATAATACAAAACAAAACAATGCAAATACTAGAATAGTTAGCTAGAACGTAAAACTAATAATATTATTTCTATCTAATTTACCTTGAACGGCAAGTGCAAGTTGCTGCGATAATGGTTGATTTCTTGCTAATGATCGGTATGCCATTATTTGTATCCTGTAAATAATTATGTATAAAGAATTAATCTTAATAAATAATTGATACAATTAATTATACGTATATAATCGATTAATTAATATATTTCATATAACATACCGCAATTGTTGTAATTGTTGTGTAGTGAAAACTTGTTTCTCTCCCATGTTGCTTTGACGAGCCCTTAAAGCAAGTAACTGAGAATAACGTGGATCTTCTTGAAGTCCTTTCTCTTCCATGGTCTCAATAGCCTTTTGCAAAGAATTCATATTTTCTTGTATGACACCAGGTGAACCTCCAGATCCAGTGGGACCAATTTGATCAATACCAGTCTGATTTTAAAGAAAGTAATTATTTTCTGTATCACTTGAACTTGTAATTCAAGAATGCAAGAACATCGAGATTAAAGCTGGGGCCTGATATCTAGTGATACAATTTGACGAAAAATTATTTTATAGATTAAATTATTATATTTATGTAGTATCGTGAACGAAAGGCCTAAGAGATATCGGGCGAACCATAAACAATGTCGTGAGAGCCGAGGCGCCGTCGGGTCCATCAATGTGTCATGGGTCTTTTCAAGTGCATAGTTTCGTAGAAAAGGCCTACGTGACCCTAGCTACGACCGTCTGCAGAACACGTGTGCGGTGGGCCTAGTAAAAGACAATAGAATGGTACAACGGCCGGAGAGAAGCAGCGAGGGAGTCGAGAAGCAGCGTGCGAGTCGAGAAGGAGAGTTTGCGAGTGGCATTGCCGAAAGAGTGTTGATTGCATTATTGTGAAAGTCGAGTCGTATTCTAATCATTTAGTTGTGCTGCTTTCTGTACGTTTGGCGTGAATAGTTCAGGTTGAACAACAATCGTCTTTTCTGTCCAATTAACATCTGTATCGTCCATTCCTTTGTAAACATATTATATCACGATACTACATTTATTCACCTACGATTTTAATATGTCAATCCAGCGTTACAGTTATAAAATATCAAAAATATTTCACGCGAAATGTCAGATTGCAACACTAAACAGTTAACAGCCTGTATGTTATTGATGTTAATCGCAATAGTCGATGATTTTTAAAATTAGCAGTAGACTGTTTATAAGCGATATGTTATCACTTGTAACTATATTGTTATTATATCTCAAAGCAAAATTAATCATATAGAAACAAAAACGAATATCCTAAAAAAAAAAAGTTATGCCATATGAATGTGAGGAAACATTTTTAACTTTCGATTACAGACATTTATACTGTAATTAAACGAACTCAGCTTCGAAAACAGATTTAACTGATCGCATTACAAACTTCAAATCAATACTTTTCAAGTTGAATCAAAACTACAATGTGGTATCTCAGATAGCGAATTCTCTTCGAATGTTTAGATTCAAGTACTTATGCCGTTTACACAATTCTGTATCTCTGATGTTAAAGATAAGAGGATCCCGACACGCGGTTCGCGCGTTCAATCGATCAGTCGTTCTGTCGAAAGCATCAGGATCGGCGATCATGTCGAGCGAGCTGGACATCAGGAATTACTTTGAGTTTGCCAAAGAGTTAATCTTGAAAGCAGGCGAAGTGAGTGCTAATTATTCTCCTTTTCTGGTGAAATTCTATCGATATTAGCGCAACGGTAGATATTATTGCTAACATTGGATATATTATTTCTCATTGAAAAGAGAAATTTTCAAAAACTTACTAATGAGATAATGCGTTTAAAGATAATTTTAAGAGACAACTGAGTTATACCTTTTCTAACAATACCGATTTTTATCGCATTTTTAGAAATTACTCGTTTATATTCGTCATTTTCCCACCCTGAGGAAATTTTGAAAAATTCTCTCTGCATTTACACAATTTCATAATTAGTTAAACAATGGAAATACTTTGTTCGAATTCACGTTACATAATTCATAAATGAAACTTCAATTCTGTTCAAAAAGAGGTCGAATTACTTCATGCACTTAGTAAATGTAACTACATATCCAATGTTAATTTATCTTGAAAGAGTTAAAAAGGAATATGTACAAGATTTGCGTTCGTTCAAAAATTCGGAATTCCTCTCAAGTTTTATATCTTTTTGACGAAACATTCGAATAAAAATGATTAAAATTGATCCTTTAAGAATTTGCAAAATTTAACCAATCAATATTTTAAAGAGCAATAAAATAAATTTCTCGAAGAATTATTAAATCAATTATCCAACATAACATCGACCAACTTGAGTACAAAAAAATTAAGTAGCTATTATAGTTAAAGGAATGATTTGTCTTTACTTATCATTGAGCCAACACCTATCAGATAATTTTTATCTGTATTCCGCTTTTTCTTTAGGTATTTAAATGCGGTTTTGAAGGAGAGAAAATTGTAGAAAGTAAAGCTCATGAATGGGACCTTGTTACAGATTATGATAAAAAAATTGAAGATATATTGATCAAAAGTCTGAAAGAAAAATTTCCAGATCATGAGTGAGTAATCAACGCTAATCAATTAAACAGATATTAATTTAATCAGAATCACGCGAATTAAATATGGTCGCATATAACCGGATTGCCGAAACAAAATATTAATATTTATTTAAAAATATTTTTTTTACGATAGAAATATTTTTTGAAACAGATTCATTGGAGAAGAGACTACGGCTAGCGTTAAAAATGCGCCAGTGTTAACAGACAAACCTACGTGGCTTATAGATCCCATAGATGGAACTATAAATTATATAAATGCAAATCCGAACACCTGTATTTCCGTCGCCCTAGCAGTTTGCAAGAAAATCGTAGTAGGAATTATTTATAATCCAATCACTTCAGAACTGTATACCGCGATTAAAGGACACGGCGCATTTCTAAACGACAAACCTATTAAAACTTCACGCAATACTGGTAATGGTACTTTAAACGCTTGAAAAAGAAGTCGTTTCCATATCTATAAAAGATCTATAAAAACAATTCAAGATAGTTTTCAATTTTTTAATAATAGAAAAATTTCCAGTTTGTATGAGAAATAGCTTCATTATCAACTTAAGTGGCGATAGTCATTATTCGTGGAGTATAAAGATAGAAAGAATAATTTCGTTCGAGAATTGTAACGATTAATCTAACTTTCATGCCGGTTATCTTTTACAGAACTAAGAAAGTCTTTGATAGAGCTCGAGTTATTCTCGCTTCGCATTGCTTCAAAAAACCGAGATATCAGATGGGGAAGATTCGAAGCTCTTCTTAATGCTTCACAAGGGTGAGTGTTCATTTGAATTAAGAAGTATAATTAGAAAATTGAAAGAGAATTGAAGAGTGACTGATAAAGAATGAAATAAAGAGGAATAGAAGTAATGGTAAAATTATTTTACGTAACTGGATGTCTAGAATTAGATTTTTGGGATCAGCTGCGATGGCTCTAGCATACGTAGCAAAAGGCGCGATAGACTGCTTTCAAATGGATCATCTTCAACCTTGGGACGTAGCAGCGGGAGTGCTGATTATTTGTGAAGCAGGTGGCACGGTAATTGACACTAAAGGTGCGTTAATAAAATGGGTAAGAGAAAGGAAGAACCTTTTTTTTTTAAATTTAAAAGAACGACTGCTTCATGTTATACTACGATACTTTAATATTTTCTTTGTATTCATTTCTTGGATTACAGTAACTGCGTTTCGGATCCAAATGTTACAATATTCCGAGGAACACTCTACGCTTTGATATTTTAATATTTTAATCCTTAATTTTATATTTTATATTTCTAAATTAATATTAAATATTTAATATTTCTAAAAGTAATATACACTGATCATATTTATTATATTTAGTTTAATATACATAATTTGATATGAATCGGCGAATGTGAAAATATTTAAATATCTTTTTATCTTTATCATTGAATAATTTGAAATTCGATTGCATAAATAACAGAACTAAACTTCTTGCAGACGAGGAATATAATGTGATGAAACCAAAAACAATTGCTGCAGCAAATGAAACACTAGCAATGGAAATAAAGCAACTGATCACTGATACTGATCTGAAAATAATGAGGAAGAGATTGACCAGGACGTGATCAAATTCTAAATGGAGAATCAGCTCGATTATTATATATTCTAATTATTATGTACTGAATAAAAGTATTATTATATTCTTAATAATTTTGTTTAACCATTGATACCTCTTCTTCTAATTGAAAGAACAGGATAATTTTCAAAAGTAAAATAACGTGAAAGCAATGCACTGCTTAAAAGAAGAATGTCAAGATTTATTTGTAAGATTCTACGAATAAGACATTTATGATATTATTTATCTATATTATCTTAATTAAATAATATTAATTTGGTTAATAGGGAGTATTGAGAGACAAAGGTAAATAACATGATTCATGGAGCTTACAAGAGTCGCAAACAAGAGCTGTGAAAATTCTAACCAACCGAGTATACTTTAATTGATCCTAAAAAATAAAATAAGGGAATGTAATCTAAAAAATTCGAATGATTCATAAGAGAACCTAGATAATGATTGTTAAGAATTTGATCGACCTATGAGTAAGTACCATACAAATGATTTATTCAAACTACAAAAGTAACGTTGGTGAGCAAAATGTTCAAATATTATCTAATAAAAATATTATGGAAATTTGATATATGTTTATGAAATTACTAAACAAAAGATACATATTAAACATTCACTCTTTTTATTTTCCAAATGTTCACTCAAAGTTCCATTCTCGTCAAATAAAAATTCTATGAGATATAGATTTCAGAAAATTAAATAATTATTAAACTATAATTGGAAATATGTTAATATGTTAATGTGTTAATAAGATCTGTGAAAAGATACGGAACAATTGTAGACCAAGTGAAGTCTCTGCATACGTATCCTGTTTGGAATGGAACATTACTTGCCAGATAGCTACAGATACGGAAAAGAGTAGCCGAAGGTTGGTCAAGGAAGTATAGTGATTCATAGACATTTCAAATTATGGCTGGAAAAATTCATGGTCGAATAAATATTACAAGCAAAAACTGAATAAAAATGTGTGAATCTTGTGCAACGAACAACAATGAAGGATCGTGTTTTTATTGGAAATCGTCTAAAGATATGGTTATGCTTTATATATAATTTAGAAAGGAAATAGATTGTATCTGGTAAAAAATACTAGTTGAAAAGAAAAAATAGGATATTAAACAATAAAACGATCTGAAAATCTCAAGGATGTAACAGGTGACATACTTCCAGGTATTGAGCGTACATTCGCACATAACAGATGTTACATTCGTATTAAAAATCGAACATTATCAATGGCTGAAACTTCACATTTAAATCAAGATAGTGTGTAATAAGCTATGAAACAATTAAACGATAATATATTTAATTTTATTATATCCCCTGTATCATTTCTCTGTTAAAAAATTTGTTAAGTTTGAAAATGTGCAAGGATTACTAAATTAGTGAAATTATATTGAAGATTTTTTAAAGTATTAAAAGTTTTTTTTGATGTCTTGACACAAAAACAAGTTCGGGACGTAAAAATTCGAGGACGGTACTTTACATACATGTTTAGTAAATTTGATCAGCATAGTGTGAAAGGGTGATCGAGTCTCGGTAATTTACCTTGGCACAGTCTTTTACAATATACTTTTATGCGTTCGTTGTGTTGTTGCAGTAAAACCATCACCAACTACATTTGATAATAATCTTTGCTCTCCCACAATAGTCTCAGTGTACGAAACGGTATCTGGGAATACGATATTTCCATAAGTAATGAGACCCGGTGCAAATCATTGTAATAATGCACAGAAATTACAGAATAAAGTGAATCACTTCTTACACGGAAAATTTAAAAATCCGCTCGAATTATTACGTAATAATATTCAGGAAATATTGTAAAATTAAATTATTTTCTTTAGAAAATTCTATATTTATTTCTTATACGTATGTTTCCAACGAATTTGCAAATACTACGCGAATACTATATACATCGCCAAATAATTAATCGGTACATGTTTGAAGAAAGCTAGTCATTGAAATTACAAACACGATATTTAAATAATGTAGGCAATTATGATGTATTAAGAAAGATAAAGAAGGAAAAGGGAAAGATTATTAACAGTAAAAGTCAGTCTCTGAATATTGTCATTAAAATCCTATTTTGAGATTTTATCTCGAATGAATCGTAAAAGCCACTCTAAGTTGGAGCCGTAACGGATTTTTATGCAGACAGTTATTTACTAAATTAATCACATGATTAAAGCACAAAATCGCAGTGTAAACGTTACTATCTCGTAACACAATTTGAAGGAATGTGTATTTACGTCCAAAATGTGGAAAAACATAACTCCGAAATCATACAGTTGCAACACGGGGAAGAACTAAACGACAGATCGAGTCATCCTTGAATCGGTTTTTTTATGACACGTTCTAAGTCGGTACGAATAAAAAGTACGCGGTGCTGTTGCACCTAACGCAGTACCTGTTGATACGTTTTCACGTCAAGGATCTCGTGTTCGCTGTTCACTGGGAAAATCTGAAGAGATGGCACGCTACGCGGAAGATGTGTACTACGAGTTCGCAATCAAGTTGACTCATGATGCCGCACAAGTAAGCACGCATACATATATGTATAATGTCCGTAAGAAATAAAGGGTGTATAAGCATTCACCTTTCTACTATTGGGTGGCATGCGATGATAAGACACGGATCATTGGTTGAATTTTAATTTTCGTTTGGCGTCGCTGAGTTGTAGATGGTCACTACAATAAGTTGAATTAGTTTTAGATTATGTTACTGATTTTTATTTGCATTCTATATTCTAAAATTCTAATAAATGACATTGACGGTATTTCTCACTTAAAATGAAATACTTTAATTTAAATTCTTGTGGATTATCTATGACGCGATTAGAATTGGTAAATATAAAAGTAATATTAATTTAGGAATAAATTTCAGTAGATTATTTGTTTCTTCATTTATCAGAAATTTAAAGAATTAGAAAATTTAAGAGTTTTTTGCATAGTCCCAATATTGTTTCTCTAATTATGGAAAAAGTCAATAAGTCATTCTTGTTAAATTACTAATCGTTAAAATACTTTACATAAAAAGTTATCGAGGTCGGAAGAAATTGATTAAGAATTGAACAAGAATAGATTAGTTTTATTATTTGAATAAAATAAAACAAAGTGTAAAGAAGTATGAAACATTCAAATAATACGCTAATGTTTAATTCAAACATGATGAATAGGCATCATTTAAGGAATTAAAAGATGTTGTGATTATCGATTCCTATCAAACTTTTACGTAATATGAATGGTTTAATGGTAACGAGATTCGTGGGCGTATATTACATTAACTGCATCAATTAGACTATTAGACGATTACTTCATCAAACATTTCGTTTCCAAGCTAATTGATATAAAAATTTTAACGAATTATATCTTTGCACTTATGTTACATCAAAAATTATGGTTTTCTAACTATTTGAAATGCTAAAATTAATCGTTATTAAAAACGATAGTAATAATATACGGTATGCCGGAAATACGATCTTAACTACTTGATACATGGAAAAATAAGCAATAGGAAAAGTAGAATTCATTATTTATAGAGTTGGGGAAATACGATGAATCGAAGTGACGCATATTCATTTCTTGTTGTATAGATCTTTTCAAATGTCCTAATCAGAAGTGTTTTTTCAATGATTAGCGAAACTTTTGCAAGAGAAAAGAAAAATTTCAAGTTAGTGAAATAAATAATTTGAACTTAAATATCTCTAGAAATTATCGGTTATTAGAAATACGTAAAATGTTCATATCAGTTAATGTTAAGCTTATAATAAAAGATGACACGTAAAAACAAAATATTATTGATCTAGGAAATATTTTAATAAGAAAATATCGTGAGGTATTATCAATAAAGTTATCGGAAACTGTTTTTTCGTGCAACTTCACATAAACTAATTCTACGAAATTATTATTATTGTTATTATCTATTTATTTATTATGGCATCGACTAATAGTCATTAGCGATCATAATTAAATTACATAAGTTAGTACAAATATTATATATACTCATTAATATTATGCCTACGTATTGTACGAAATTATGCTTTCCTTGAAACCATTTAATTTTTGCTTACGATATTTTTCGCTGTAATAAAATTCTAAAAAAAAAAAGGTTCAACAATATTTCAAATTATTAATTTTTACAATTTTCTATTAAAGATACTCAAGGCAGCTATCAATGGCGCAAAAAATGTCGATGAGAAGCAAGATAATTGGGACTTGGTAACAGAATACGATCGAAAGATAGAGGAGGTGGTCATTGGTCAACTAAAATCGAAGTTTCCAGGCCACAGGTAAATATATTTATTTAAAATTCACTTTATAAACTTTATAAAAATTTTTGGGGGAGAAAAATGTATGAAAAATTTGGTGACAGATTTATCGGTGAAGAATCGACTGGAAAAGATCTTCCAGAGTTGACGGATGATCCGACGTGGATCATTGATCCGATCGATGGTACTACCAACTTTATTCATGGTCTCCCTCTCACTTGTGTCGTAATCGGTTTGGCGATTAATAAAGAAATGGTGATTGGCATCGTTTACAACCCTGTTCTTGAACAACTATTCACAGCGAGGAAGGGTCGCGGCGCATTTTTAAACAACAAACCTATAAAGGTCTCTAATGTTCAAGGTAAATTACAATTTTGATTTACGAAGTCTAAGTTAATAGACAAAGTTAATAAATTTTCGCAAAAGATTTGCTGCTTTAATGTGTCTTTACATACCAAAAGGAATCATTTTTCGACCGAATAAAACGGTGAATTCCGTATAGAAAAAATAAATATTATTCTGTATGTGTTTTTAAATCCTTATTCTTCGATATTAGAAATGTTCGATGTGTTGACAGATTTGTCGAAAGCTTTGGTTTGCATGGAAAGTGGTTTCATAAAAGTGCATCACATGAGGGAAAAGACTATCGAAAGAATGAGAACAATCGCTTTAGAAGCTCAAGGGTAAGGTACTCAAATATCCTATCATTTTTTTTTTAATTCAAAATTACTTAATAAATTGTATCTGTGTATTTCATATCTTTATATTTGTTATTTTCATGCCGAATGAACCCTGGATACCAGGAGTGTACTTTTCAAAACTCTATCATAAAGACATAGTCGACTTACATAAAGTCTTTGTTAGAAAAAATTTTACATATAAATAAATATACATATATTTCATTAATCCGAATTCAGGTAGAAAATCAGACTACTTCAATTTTACTTTTATTTTACGTACATTACATGCTTATGCATGTTCTAGTCAAGTTACGATGTCTTATACCGAAGTTTGTCAAACAACAGTAAATTTCTAGTTCCTATTGCTGTATTTGCATTTCTACATATGCAGTCACTTTTTATCTAAATTTAGGTATTTCTTTTTATAGCATTCGCACACTTGGTGTAGCGGCATTGACATTGTGTTATGTCGCAATGGGAACTGTCGAGGCTTATTATATCGAGGGGCCAGGTATCTCCACGTGGGATATTGCTGCGGCATCGTTAATTATTTCCGAAGCAGGTGGTGTCGTTGTTGATCGTGAAACAGGTAAATAACTGTTTATACACATACCTTTTCTCAGTACTT